TGCATTTCGAAAGAGCACATACACACTCGCCATCGCAATCGCAATCGGACTCGCACACATGAAAAGCAGGTGAAGACAGCACAATAACGTCATCGTTTGAGTGCGAGTGAGAGCAAAAAGTGCGTAAGAAACATTTAGCATGAGATGCGGGAGGGAGGTAAGAAAAGATGCTGAAAAGCTCATTACCATAAGAAAACACAACAAAGTGGGTGGGCTCACTCAAAAATGAGATACACTTCGCACACAGACAAAGGAACACACGGTGGAGATCACAATTCGGCAAATGCAAATCAATTCAGTTTCCCAGCCCTAGAATACACACACACAAATACAAACAAGGCAAAAGCTAATGCTTATCGGTTGGAACACGTCGAAACACTTGCTGCAGCTGCGATACAAAAGTTGGGCACCCCTCCCCCATGGATGTTTTAAAAAAATGGAGAAGTCTCTGCCTTCCAGCAGAATTTTCAAGAGTTTGATAACACACACTAGCAAACACACACACACGTGCGTGAGGGACTCCCACTCAAGGGTTTTCGGCTATTAAAATGCACTTTCATTATTGTTAAAGGGCCTCCACAGACACAACACACACGCATACGCAGGACACACACACGCACACTGCGAGACGGCGGCGCCGATAACGAAAGATGATAGAAAAGCGAGTACGGGAAAATTTTTCTCACCTCCGACTCGATACATATTTGTGGCCATTTTCACTACGCTTCCGCACCAAAACTTTCACATGTAAAACACTCGGCACACGCTTAGCACTGTTTTTCAATGGTTCTATTTCAAATTAGCGCACATTTATTAGCTTAAAACTCGAGTTGTTATGATTGCATTTTTCACATAAGAAGACGCGTTTTTTTCGTCGCCATCTTAGAAACAACTCAACTCTAAAAAATACACGCACACACACACAACGCCGAGTAAACAGCTGCACCAGGGATGCATTCGGCCAAGCGATATTTGGCTATCGATAGATCGAAACTTGATTTTTAATTTTTAAATTTATTAAATATTTAAATCCTGATTTATGAATGTATTATTATTCTAAAAGCTTTTAAATATCATGAAAAAAATAACAATAATAGGATGGACAGCTTAACGAATTATACCAATAATTTAGCGTTAATTCGTTATCTGTACTGTATTATTTCCTAAATGTAATTCACATATCATTGATATTTTCAGAGGTATGTACTACTATACAAAGGTATAATTTTTAACTATTATGTTATTCTTCTAAGTTTTACTAACAATTTCTTAACCAAAAGTTTGACTTGTCCAAGGCGATAGTATCGCCTGAAAACTATCTTCACTGACCTGCTACGTTTGCAATAAAAAAACTCTTCAATATTTCTTAGTCGTGGTTTCTACGTTTTGTACGTTTAAATAAATTGTTCTTAAAGTGTGTGAATTTTTGTTTAACTAAAAGATTCTTCTCGCGAATTTGTTTAGTTTCTCGTGAGTATTTAGCCGTCGCCAGCACGAAAGGTGTCACGACTAGCTGTCAATCCGTGACGTGGCCTGGTCAAACCGATTTTTCCAATTGGCAGAAGACTAGCGTTGTTTTATCCCGTTTTAACAGTATATTTAAGTGTTGCGGCGATGACCACCTACGAGGAGTTCATCCAGCAGAACGAGGACCGCGACGGGGTGCGGCTGACGTGGAATGTTTGGCCTTCAAGTCGCATTGAAGCCAGTAGGCTGGTGGTGCCTCTCGCCTGTCTTTACCAGCCTCTGAAGGAGCGGCCCGACCTGCCACCCATTCAATATGATCCGGTCCTCTGTACTCGGAGCAACTGTAGGGCTATTCTGAACCCCCTGTGCCAGGTTGACTATCGGGCCAAGTTGTGGGTGTGCAACTTTTGCTTCCAGCGCAACCCGGTCAGTAACTGTGATCTTTAGACCTTATGGGACAATGTATAACACCCTACCTTCCAGTTTCCTCCCCAATATGCGGCTATATCCGAGCAACATCAGCCGGCGGAGTTGATCCCGGGATTCAGTACCATCGAGTATACCATCACCCGTGCTCCCACAATGCCTCCCGTCTTCATTTTTCTGGTTGACACCTGCATGGATGAGGAGGAGCTGGACGCCCTGAAGGACTCACTACAAATGTCGCTAAGTCTGCTGCCACCCAACGCTCTCGTGGGTTTGATAACTTTCGGCAAGATGATACAGGTGCACGAACTAGGCGCCGAAGGCTGCTCCAAGAGTTATGTGTTTCGCGGTACCAAGGATTTAACCGCCAAGCAGGTGCAGGACATGCTCGGAATCGGGCGCGGAGCGGCTCCGGGGCCACAGCAACAGCAGCAGCTGCCCGGTCAGCCGGCTGGAGCGGCGGCCCCAGTGCCGCCCGCCCATCGCTTCCTACAGCCGATCGGCCAGTGCGACGTAGCGCTGGGCGATCTGCTCAGCGAGCTGCAGCGCGACCCTTGGCCGGTGCCGCAGGGCAAGCGCTACCTGCGCTCCACGGGCGCCGCTCTGTCGATAGCGGTGGGTCTGCTGGAGTGTACCTACCCAAATACGGGCGGTCGCATCATGACATTCGTGGGTGGCCCTTGCTCCCAGGGCCCCGGCCAGGTGCTCGACGACGAGCTGAAGCACCCGATCCGATCGCACCACGACATCCACAAGGACAACGTGCGGTTCATGAAGAAGGCTATTAAGCACTATGATGCCTTGGCCTTGAGGGCGGCCACCAATGGACATAGTGTCGACATATACTCGTGTGCCCTGGATCAAACCGGTCTGCTGGAGATGAAGCAGCTGTGCAATTCAACTGGCGGCCACATGGTCATGGGTGATTCTTTCAACTCGTCGCTCTTCAAGCAGACATTCCAGCGCGTTTTTGCACGTGACGGTCGCAACGATCTGAAGATGGCCTTCAATGCCACGCTGGAGGTGAAGTGCTCGCGCGAGCTAAAGATCTCCGGTGGGATCGGCTCGTGTGTGTCGCTGAATGTGAAGAGCCCGTCGGTGTCGGATGTGGAGATCGGCATGGGCAACACGGTGCAGTGGAAGCTGTGTACGCTCAATCCCAGCTCCACGGTGGCATACTTCTTTGAGGTGGTCAACCAGCATGCAGCACCCATTCCGCAAGGCGGGCGCGGCTGCATACAGTTTATTACGCAATACCAGCATCCAAGTGGACAGCGGCGAATCCGAGTCACCACATTGGCTAGAAAGTAAGTACTAGCGGACACTTTAAAAAAAGAAAATGTTTTACTTAATGTATCATCTTTATAAATAGTTGGGCTGATGCCACCTCGAACGTGCACCACATCAGTGCAGGCTTTGATCAGGAGGCCGCTGCCGTGCTGATGGCCCGTATGGTCGTATATCGTGCGGAGACGGACGAAGGACCAGATATTTTGCGCTGGGTTGATCGTCAGTTAATTCGTCTAGTAAGTAAATTAACATTGTTGTAAAAATTTTCATTTTAATATAATTATATAATTTATAATATTAGTAATACACAGATAAACACTTTTTTAAACTAATGTGATTTTGCAAATGTTTTTTGTTATATTGTCTTTATTTTGTAGTGCCAAAAATTCGGCGAGTACTCAAAGGACGATCCTAACAGCTTCCGGCTGTCGCAAAACTTCAGCCTGTTCCCGCAATTCATGTACCACCTTCGCCGCTCGCAGTTCCTGCAGGTCTTTAACAACTCGCCCGACGAGACCACATTCTACCGACACATGCTGATGCGCGAGGACCTCACCCAATCGCTGATCATGATTCAGCCGATACTCTACAGCTATTCGTTCAACGGCCCACCAGAGCCAGTTCTCCTTGATACGGCTTCAATCCAGGCGGATCGCATTCTGTTGATGGATACCTTCTTCCAGATCCTGATCTATCACGGCGAGACGATCGCCCAATGGCGAGCCCTCAAGTACCAGGACATGCCCGAGTACGAAAACTTTAAGCAGCTTCTCCAAGCCCCCGTGGATGATGCTCAGGAGATCCTTCAGACTCGCTTCCCAATGCCGCGCTACATCGACACGGAGCACGGTGGATCCCAGGCACGCTTCCTGCTTTCCAAGGTCAATCCTTCGCAGACGCACAACAACATGTACGCCTACGGACAGGTGAGTTTCATATCCATCGCCACTGGCTGGCCACATTTGATTGATCTTTGCAGTGGGCATTTTTGCGACATCGAATACTCAAACTCAATCGATAACTTGATCTCGTTTTATGTTGGTTTTGTTTCTCTCATTGTGTAATCCGTTCCTGTATCCGTAACCGCTCCTCTGTCATGCGCAGGCGCCTATTGGTCAAGTCACGGTAGTACATTTTTGTTCAAAACTCAAAACTTATGCTGGCATAGGTTGATTTCTTCACAACAAATGGCAGGGCGTAACAAAATCTTTGAAAACGTTTATTAATACGAAAATAGTTTTGATCGGTTGCAAGGAACTTACAACAATTTAACTACACTGCATTTTAATGAACAAAATGTATAAATTTTTAAAATTAATCTCAAACTACCAAATTAGCTAATTAAAGTCTTGAAAGTGTTCAAAGATATTGTTTGCCTTAGTTTTTCATGTATATCTAAGCATTTGTACACAGATGCACATTTTATATTTTTAATGTATTTTTAAGTTGGTTTTGGTGTTAGACTTTTCTCGGTGTTTGGTACCCCTTGCTCATTTCCCTAGTCTTTTTTTCCACTGTCCCGCCCCACCCATCACTTGACTAATTTATTTAACATTATCTCGACAGGATGGCGGAGCTCCAGTGCTCACGGATGACGTCTCGCTGCAGCTGTTCATGGAGCATCTTAAGAAGTTGGCCGTGTCCACAACCACATAAATCGATTCTGGCTTTGGTTTCAAACACCTTTTCCCTGGATGGTAAAGTTCTCGAAGGAAAGGACTCACGAAATCCGGGAACTGTAAGCCCAGGCAATGCAATTACAAATATAAACCCACTTATTCCAATTGATCGTCTGAAAACAAAATAAACTATTCAAATTATGTTCAACAATTTGTGTGAATCCGCTTGACTTTTATTTTTAAGTAGCACAATATTAGAATTTACGTTAAGCGGAATGAGTTTACTATCGTCGATAAAACAAAGTATTAACAAAAAGAAAACCGCAAATCTTCCTTTATAACAACTATTAAATCCGAAGAATTCCTGAAACCTAAAAAGATTTGTAAGTAATCAATTTGTGTGTTCAAAGGACAAATTATAAGTTGCATTATTTGATTTCAATAAATATCGGTAGCACCTGTTAACGAATGGTAGATTGCACAATCATAAGGGATTTGAAGATATACATTTTTTCATTGAAATAATGAATAATGATAACTTTACATCCTGAATATACGTGAAATCATCTCATATCATATTTTAATGAACTTTGAGACGGTTTTTGCTTTAAATTCACATTTAACATCTGAACGGGCTTAATAATTACCGAAATTACTGTTTTCAAATCAATCAAGGTTTCAGCAATTCACCAGAGTACCTATTTCTCCACTGACTGCGTACTTAACTATTTGGTAATCACTGACTAAAAAGCTCGCTCTTTTCTCTTGATTCCTAAATCCAGCCTAGTTAAGAAACCTTATGGACATTTTTTGGTCCACGTCGGTACGGTCCAGCGCTTTGCAGAAGTCCTCAAACGAGATCTTGCCCTGGCCACACAAGTCCGCTTCCAGAATTGTCCTTTCTGCGATGCTCACCAGTTGGTCTTGGCTGATGTTCGCGCCCACCATCATGTGCAATATGGACAGCAGCTCATCTCGGCTGATCACACCATCGTCATCCAGATCGTACATCTTGAAAGCAAATTTCAGTTTTTCCTCGCGACTGTTCAGCTTGCTCTGCTTGTTGTCCCGCAACGGCCGGAAGTGAGCCAGGACGTTCATGAACTGCCGGAAGTTCACCCGATCATCGTTGCTCTCGGCGAAAAAGGAGTGCACTATCCGTTCGCACAGCGGATTGATGGCCAGCTCTGGTATCCGCATCAGATCCTCACGGGATAGTGTTCCGCAGTCGTTTCGATCCAACGAGGTGAATCGAGAGTACAATCGTTCAATTTGATTGGGAGTGACTGCACGTAAATAAACATAATAAAAATATTACAAGCATGTTTACAATGTGTTTTTATGTATGTATTCATAAAAAACGTAAGAATATTTTTTAATATATAAAAAAAACTTAATCGAAAATCTTAAAACACTTCTTATTTGCAGTCAGCAGAAACTTACACTTAAGAAAAAAAATATATGAAAAGTTTCCGAAAGAATGTACGTTAACAAATTTAACGATATGTTGAGATAAATTTATTTTGCTCGAATAAAACCCATTTGGTGTGCGAAGAGGCGAAGCACATTCCGAATAAGTTGTTATAAAATCTGGCTGATAAGAGCCAACCCCTTATCAATTTAGCTGATACTAGCTGGTCGAACATTGGATACAAGTTCCAATGCGGTGGCCATTTCAATTGTGAGCTTATCGCCGCCGGAATACTGAAATTACACGGTCTCTGACACTAGATAATTGCCAGCCAATATCGTTGATAGGGACTGACTTTTGCCCCCGCCTCCTATATAGCCTAGCCATCGATGACGTCACTAGGGAAGTGCAGGTGCAATGTGAATGCAAATTGGTTTTCGCTGGAAAATGTCTATGCATATATAGCTTATATAAGGCGGGAACAGATCGTTCAGATGCAGTTCTGTGTAATTTCAGGAGGTATGAAGAACACGTATGGTCTTGGATTCGATATGGAATTGTACCAAATCGTTTGAATTAAACAATCAATGATTTCAGCCATTAGACCCAAAGCTTTTAACACTCCAGTGCGATGTTGTTGTTTGCTTTACCCGTGGCCCATTTATTTATATCCAAGTGCGTATTTGTTTTGGAACAGCGGGTTAAATGCCCCGGTACCAAAAGCCCAAGGCCATTAAAACCCACCAAATGGTACTTACAACCAGTCTCCTCCTGAATTTGCGCGATCTCCTCGTTCCGCAGGAAAAGCGACGATTTATTGCCCATGGTGACGTTGTTTTGGAGCGCCGATTAATGTTCTTAAACTTTCAACAATCGCGGACGAACATTGAATGGCATTGGATTTGGATCAGAAGTTCGATTTGTGTACAGTCTGAGTACGGGTGGAATAGCGGGAAAATGTCGAAAATCGAGTCAAGAAAAAATACTGAACGGCGAGGCGATAGTTGTATTAGGGATGGACTTTGGTCGAGTGAACACAGTGTTAGTTTAGTTACAACATATAGACTTAAAAGTTGTTTCTAAAATAAGGCTAACATCCTCTTAGAAAATTATTCTTTTCTCAGTTGTTAATTTGTTGATATATGCTAAATAGTAAAAAGCTATATTAAATAATTCTAAATATATTTTAATTGTGTGTTGATTTCTAAAGAGAACTTTTTTGGTCTAGCCGCCTAATCTAGCTGAGGCGTATCGTCGATACCGTGATTATTATTTTTGTGTCATCATTGACTCGTGATATGGAATTTGCCATCCCTATTGGCATTGAGGAAAGATAGTCGTAAACAATTTTTTCGCCGGATAGGAATCGTAGTCATGGACAAGTTAAATTCCACTTTGACTGCAGTTAAAAATTTGCGATCTAATGTGCGACAGTGTTTTGAGCACCTGGCCGATGGCACTGATGGCGAAGGCGGTGATGAGAGTCGGAATAAATTCGTGCATGACTTTCAGGAGAGATTCGGAGCTATAAACTCTCAATTGCGGTGAATAAACACAGTTACATACTATATTAAGTCTAAAATATAATGTGAACCACCTGCAGTGAAGTAGAGCAACTGATCAATGGATTGCAGGTGCCGCCAACACCATATTCTCTGGGGAATACGGCTTACCTCGCGCAGGAGACTTCCCAGGATCGGCAAGCGCTGTACCCCCAATTGGTAAATAGCTACAAGTGGATCGACAAAGTGCACGACCACAGCTTTCTGGCCTTCAACAATCTTAACCAGAATACCCTGAGGCGCTCCTACAACTACTGTTCTCAGAAGCGCCAACGACTGCCTTTCTCTTCCTTCAACAATGATCCGGAGTAAGACCTTTTAATAATTAATTATCATAATCATTTTCCTTTATATTTTCTTGCTTAAATCCAATCTTACCACCAACTTTTTTTAATCTGTAGCCACATTGATAAACTACTGAGTGAGATCAACACTCCGCCTCACACCTCCTACCGAATATTCCGTCCCTTCGGCACCAACGCAGTCGCCATCGTGACTATTAGCAACGTGATGAAAGCAGCCATAGTGTTCAAAGGAGTGCTGATAGAGTGGGTGACTGTAAAGGGATTCGATGAGCCTCTGGAGCACGACGATCTGTGGGCAGAGTCGCGTTACGAAGTGTTCCGTAAGGTACAGGAGCATGCCCACTCAGCCATGTTGCACTTCTTCTCGCCCACGCTGCCCGATTTGGCAGTGAAGAGCTATGTGACTTGGCTTAACAGCCATATCAAGTTGTTCTTGGAACCTTGCAAGCGTTGTGGGAAATTCGTGGTTCACGGATTACCTCCAACTTGGCGCGACTTGCGCACCCTCGAACCCTTCCACGAAGAGTGCCGGAATTGCTGAATTTTTTAGATACACAACACAGATAGCTATAACTTTGTATACTTCATTTATTTCAAAAACAAAAAATTATATGTACTTTTAATGCATGCGGGCATATTTTTAAAAATCGCCACGCTCGACTGAATAACTACAACGGTTGAATGCGTTTTTTAATGGCCAGCCAGAGCAGAAGTTACCCGCTTCGATTTCCGCACCTGCGTCTGCACACCGTGCTGCAGGCACATACGCTCAAAGTTGGCACGCAGCTTGGCGCGGAGCTGCTCCCGCTGTCGCTGTACCTGCTCCTGGTGGCATTTGAAGGCCAGCACCACCTCCTGGGGAATGTAATAGCTCTCCTCGTCTTTGTCGTCGTATTCGTCGAAGTCGTCCTGTAATAGGAATAAAGATTTGTTATTATTATATAACGTCAGACTAAACAATATATAAATGTCTTCCTTTTAGACACAATTTTGCATTTCTACTTTTGTACTTGATTTTGACTCTTAATGCTCAATTATAATAAGAATTGTCAAGGTGATTAGTCAAAGTTGGTTTACAATTTGTGTTAATTCGTTTTTCATGTTTCTAAAGTTTGAAAGCTACTTTGAAAAGAGGCCGATTATGTATCAAATCACCTAAAGCATAAGTCGAGTTTAATTGAATACAATATCGTTGGTTTGTCAAATTTATCTAATTCCATACAGAAAATACAAATTTTTATTTTTAACTTTCTTGTCTAAAAAGCGCAATGCCCTGTCTTTGGTTTGTCAAACTTGAATTTTTTATCTATTTCCATAAAGAAAATACAAATTTTTATTTTTAACTTTTCTAAAAACAAGACGAGCTTTTTTTCCATATTACTGTGAAAAAAGATTTTTTTACGCTTTTGGTTTAAATTTAAAAAAATAGTCATGAATCTAGGATCGAACAGAAATCCATGTCTTGGTTGGACGTCTATTCTTAAACAATTAAGTTATAAAGATTTTTTTTTCTGTTCGAATCTACTGATGATCCTGACAGAGAGGAAGTTACCTAATTTTCAATGGATACAATACAGTACAAAATAGGGTCCCCGAGGAATACAACGAAGTAATCATCGTCTCGGTCTATTCTTAAACAATTAAGTTATAAAGATTTTTTTTCTGTTCGAATCTACTGATGATCCTGACAGAGAGGAAGTTACCTAATTTTCAATGGATACAATACAGTACAAAATAGGGTCCCCGAGGAATACAACGAAGTAATCATCGTCTCGGCTATTGGTACGATTAATGCTATAATGAACGCTATTTATCTATATTTCTGTACAAATATAAATATATATGTCTAACTGAAATTGTTTTCTCCAACCATTGTAATCATTCCCACAACTCACCCACATCTGCAACAATGAAAACTTGTGATCCAACTGCGACTGTTGACCATAAAACAATAGGTCAGAGACGTAGTTTTTTCGCGCCGCTAAGCTGTCTGAATCCTCGTCGTGGCCGTCGTGATTACACAGTCCGTCCGAGCAAGACACCTCAGATCCCTCAGGCGACGAAACGACGCTGGATGTCCGCGAATCGGCGTGCGAAGTGGGATCGCTGCCGTAACCAGAATCGCGCACATCCTGCTCACACGGGCAATTAAGAATGGGGGCCAGGCACTCCTCACACTTATCACCGCCGTCCGTTTTAGCGACGCTCGACAAGATACAGCTGGCCACGTACAGTTGATCATGATCGTCGTCCAAGGGTTGGATGCTAACCGTGGGCTGCATCTGCATCGGATTAAGGGCCTTCTTAGAGACCGTTGGTTTCTGCTTCTTTTTCTTCGCTTGCTTCTTCGGTTTCGATTTCGTTGGCTTGGACGTGGGCTCGGGTTCTGGCTCCGGGTGCGGTGCTTCTATAACAATGCCATCGTCGGCACCTGGATCGCTTAGCTCCAAATGGTGCTCCTGAGTCTCCTCCTCCTCCTGATCTAGCTCCTCCTTTTCCAAATCTTCCTCCTCTTCATCATCGGACTCGTTGGCTTCAGTATCCTCGCACTGTCGATGCAACAGGTTCTTTTTCTCGTCCTTCTTCTTCTTTTTCTTGAGCTTCTTCTGCTCGCGCTTGATCTGCTTGGCCCTCTCCGCTCGACTGATCTCCTGGTAGAGAAGCTCCAGGTTGCTGATTCCCTGTTTCTGCTCCACGAAGGTGTCGAAGCTGCGGCAAAGGGCGTGGACACCCACAGCGGCCAGCACCTGGCAGGCGCGCTCCTCCTCTCGCAGACTCACATAGATGCGACGAAGCCGTTCGTACATAATCATGCCAACGCAGGTCAGCACCTCTTCCTGGGCGATCTCCAGCGTCTTCGCGTGGCGTTCACGTAGCTTCGAGTAGCTACCGTTTACCTCGGGCTCAGCGCGCTTAATCAGTGCGTCCAGGAACTCTATCTTGTTGGTGCTCACGTGGATGTGCTGGTCGGGAACGCACTTGCGGATATGGGCGTACAGCTGGGCCGCGTAACCCTTCTCCTTGGCCGATATCTCTCCAATGAGTATTTTGTAGGCGCGCTCAATCTGAAATAGAAGTATATAGGTAATTTAGTGAAATCAATGCAAAATATTGTGGACCCAAACTAACCAAAGAACTAATTTAAATAAAATAACTTAGTTTATTTTTATAGTTTCCCGCAACTTAGGAAACTTACAAAATGTGCTTCTGTGTTATGATGGCTTTAACGGAAAAATTCCATAAAAAAATCTTTTAACTCGAATAAAACTGGATGTTAAATTTGATATCAGATTTTTTAAGCATTCACATTGATAATTAAAAATCCCAGTAATTGTTAATTACGATTATATGTGCTCACCTTTGTCCGGCAGCCAGAGCAAAACTTGTGCTTCTTTAGGTAGTTCTCGAGCACCTCATGCAGTTCCTTGGTCTCGATGATGGTCAACTCGTTTCGACAGTTGCTTTTCATGGCGGACCACACCTCGCGCCACGTCTCCGAAAACGGTTTGGCGCGGAAGGCATCCAGCGAATGGAGGACGCAGCGCGTCTTGTTGCGCAGTTTGTTGTCCAGCAGGTTATTCAGCACTTCATGATGCCGGTAAAGCAAAGTCCCAAGTGCCTGCGGAGTTTTAAGCTTCTCCTCGACAATGCCAAGGGTAGCTGATGGGCGTAGCTCCAATGGATCTAGCGTCCGGTGTCCAGACTCGGTTAGTTGGTGGAACAGCCGCTCCACACGCCGGCGGCAGCCCACGCATTGAACGCACTGGTTGAGGACAGACATGAAGCTGGCGCTATCAATCTCCAATGACTGTCGGCGCTCGGCCTCTGTCAGCAGTTTGAATTTGCGCGAGAACTCCTCCAGGTCGCGTCCGCGTATCAGTGGGCTGTCGATAACCAGTCCTTTGCTATTCAGGTCCATGAGCATCTGAGAAGAGAAAAAAAAATTAATTCTACTACCAGCTAGTGCCATATTAAATACTTTTTAAAAGATAATTTAATGTCTTTGTCCTTGGCCTAGATAATTAAATAAATTCAATTGTTTCTTACTACAATTATCGCTTTCCTGAATTAGTTAAACTCCTCAAGCAAATCAAAACAAATAACAGCTGTTTCCTTCTAGCAATAACGCGAAAACGCGGCTTTAACCCAACATAAGCACTCTTTTCGCATTATAGAGCTTCTATCGATGTCGATAAAAATGCGGTTAAGTTTGGAACCGATATTAGAGAGTTTTTTGGACAGAGAATCTGAATCATAAAGATCAGCAGAGGAGAGAGAGGCGGGGGGGTGCATATTGCTATGCATACAAACAGGTTCTTGATATTGCACTTTCCAGCAACATGGCGGCTGCAGCCAGGGTGGCAGAAGAAGAGATCTGTGGGTGGCAGGTGCAGAATCGCAGCTCAAGTTCAATTAATAAACGCACAATTACACACCGAACGAACCCACACAATGCCATCCGCCACTTACACATAACAACCCGCCGTGTTATGAAAGTTTTTGGACCAAGTGCACGCACACACGCACGGCCAAGTTGCGTGTGTGGGTTCTCTGATGGTAGTCATTTTCCTCTGATGGCTGTGCATATATAGCGGAAATCGGTGCGGATATATGCTCACCATTAACTTATCGCCAGCCACCAGGGGCAAATTCCTGCGGCCAACATAACCGGAGTCATCGTCGTCCGTATTGTAGACCTTTGTGAGCCTCGCCATTATAGGTATTCAACTTTGAGAGCCAGCGACAAGGCAAGGCGAAATTTTAGGCACTTTGCGACACACACACTTTTCTCCAGGGGTCCGGTCGTGGGTAACGGGGATCGACGGGAATATGGAAGCACGAGAGCGCACGGATCAACAATCTACGTTGACAACTATTTTCACTCTTCACGAAGATTGAGTGGCTCGGGGAACTGTCGAGAATCAGCTACAAAAGTATTTTCTATGTCAAACACGTAGTAGGCAAGTCGGTCCGGTCGCCATTAAATCAGAGTAGGGTTGCCAGCGCGTTCCAGGGGTGCTAGTACGCTATCGATACCACAACTATCGATATTGCACTTATTTTTATTCTATTATTTTATTATATATGAAGTGTAATTTAGGGACATGTAGAGCTTGTTTGTATTAAAAGGCTGGTCTATATGTTATCATATTAGTTGAATGTTTTGAAATGTTGTTTTGAAAACAACAAGAATACATGCTCTCAGGGATGGGAAAACCTTTTGTTAATGTGCTGAAATCAATTCGGATATAAGCCCCCGTAAGATGGATATATAAAATTTCATTTGCAACAAAGTTAAAAATGTTATTTATTTCATTAAATAAATTGATAGGAACTAAAAATTGTATGTTTCGTAACATTATTTGATGTATTGATTTATTAATTTTTTATCGTTTTTGCAATTCATAATGAAACTATAAGACATAACCAAGTCTGACACACTCCATAAATGTATTGAATATAGAAAATAAGTCTGACTTACTTAGCAAATTTAAAATAGGAATCCCCTATATATACAACCTGAAATCGATAACATCAGATTCGAAGCTACTTATCACATTTTGCACACGCTGGTGACCGCGTTTCGTCGTGAACTGCATAAATTCGCGTTGTTCGGCAAAAGTTACTAATAATTTTCTAAGCGGCTAGTTGAACTGTTATAATTTAATCTTAGCATAAGCATTTTACCACCCGACACCGGACTAATGTCCACGCTATAAGAAAGCGAGTAAGTAGTCATTTAATTGGTAAAGAGACATCCAATTAACCCGCACATTACGCCTGCCCCGTTTGTGTCTGTGTGCGAGCGAAGAAAATTCATTGCAGCCAAGCGGAAAAAGAGAGGCATTGGGAAAAAAGGCCTACGACCATGGACGTGTCCCAGCCGCCGCCGCAGCTCCTGACCGCGCCATCCGCGCTGGCCACCAATTTCACATCACTCCCGCCCCCCAACATGGGCGGCCAGCACTACCGGCACTACCATCCACACCATGGGTCCAACAAACACGGTTACAACCAGTTCAAGCCTTTCATGCCCGGCGGCTTCCAGCGTCCCTTTGGGATGTCCCAGGACGACTTCGACGGCAAACGGCTGCGAAAGAGTGTGATGCGAAAGACTGTGGACTATAATGCGTCTATTATCAAGGCGCTTGAGGTGATTACCTTAGATTATTAGGCTGCAAGAAAGGAAAGAGGGTTAAGATAGCTAAAAGATTCTCAGTTCCAAAAACGCAATTTAAAGTTCTGAGGCTTGTTGCGCTCTGACCTTTGCAACGCGTCTATCATCAAGCCGTTCGGTGAACCTTCGGTATTACCTAATTTAAAAAGAGATTTTTTATTTTAAGTATTAAGTATACCCTATCTGAACACTTCAACTAAAACTAGATCAAAATATGCCAACTATCCAAAATGATTTCAAAATATAGTTATTTGTGTTCTAACAAAGAGCTCACAATAGGGAAACAATTTTGGCCAATCATTTTAAGAGATATGTAAATCAAAATATGGAACAACATCAAATCAATAACCAAGTGAAAACAAACTTGGGCCCCTTTTATGCAACAATGTCTAACCAAAATTTAAGCTTCGGATATAATTATATTTGATAAAAGACGTACTATTTTGTTTATTACCTGTAGAACCGCCTCTTCCAACGTGATCATCGGGACCGGTTAGCCTTACAACCAGACAGCATTTATGTGCCCCACATGTTACCGCCCTCGGCATATCTGGACAATCCTTCTAATGCGGTAACTACGAGATTTGTTAAAACGGCGACGAATAAAATGCGATGTCCGATTTTCACGTTGGCCTGGACGCCGGAGGGTAGGCGTTTGGTCACCGGGGCCAGTTCAGGCGAATTCACGCTTTGGAACGGCCTGACTTTCAATTTCGAGACCATTCTACAGGTGGGTTTCCATCAGCAGATCCCGTGGGATCAAATCTAATCGTTAATATTGTCAAACAGGCTCACGATATCTCTGTGCGAACGATGGTATGGTCACACAACGACAGTTGGATGGTGACTGGCGATCATGGCGGCTACGTAAAGTACTGGCAGTCCAACATGAACAACGTCAAGATGTACCAGGCGCACAAGGAGGCGATTAGGGGAATAAGGTATAGCCATTTAATTGTAATTGTCAAATGTATTTACCATTTTGTAGCCGCTGACGCAAGCCAACTAAGTCAAAACCAAAGCCAGATACGCGTTGTTTTTATAGGTTCTTTTGTTTGGGTCGCTTTGTCAGTTTTAGGTATTTTTTCTTTCCTGTTTGACCTAATGGATCGGTTCCTTTCAGGGCAGTTGCAAATACATATCAATAAAGCCGTCTATGCTGCAACATGCCACCCAGATATCCGTTTCGCCTGATTGGCTATATAAGTTTTAGCATCTCCTTCATTAGAAACCAAAGTCTTAAATATGTTGTAATCGTCAAACTCTTCTGTGATATAACAATAAAGATGAAAAGAAATAAAAAGACTGATAGTGAAATGATAAAAATGCAATATTGAGAAAAGCGAACAATAAAATCATCTGACTAAGAACAAAATGAAACCTCTGCACAATTTTATTTCCGCGGCAAGAAGATCAACAATAAATAAAATGCATTGTGTTGCACTGATTGTTCGAAAAATCGGGGGTTCGAGTGTTTTCTTTCTCAAGACTGGCGATAAATCTTGACGTATGGGCAACAAATCTTGCGACAGATCAAGCAAATCTATCTGCTTCACCTTATTCTAACGAAAAACAATCATCATTGTAATATAGGCATTCTAATAAATAATGAAATTTAAATATTTTTATTGGACTTCTGTAATTATTTAACCTTTTTAACACAACATTTTTATTCGGTTGGACACAAAACATTTATAGAAGTATATAATAAATTTTAAAATTATATTTTAAAACTTCAATTTCAAAACGTGAATGTGTATCATTGCTTTGATCAGTTTTTGTATACGTTCAAATTGAACAAAATTATATGAAAATGATGTGAAAGTTAAATGATTGATGACTTCTAGTACCTTTAAACCTTTTTATTGCACTCTCTAGATCCACTCAAAATGTAACACAAGTTTTATCTAGCTTTTAAGTTAGTACTTCTGAATCTGGTAATCACAAATGTAAAAAAAGATATGTATATTATGGTGTGGGCTCTCATTTTAAACATTCACTAACATCGCGCTCACTCATTATCATCACTTGATCCGTGTTTTGTTACGTTCTAACCGTTTTCCAATGCAATCCACCAAACGCAGTTTCAGTCCCACGGACAGCAAGTTTGTCAGCGGCAGCGACGACGGAACCCTTAGGATATGGGACTTTATGCGGTGCCAGGAGGAGCGAGTGCTACGAGGTGAGAACTAAACGGCGATCCAAATCGAACTTCCATTGCTAATTTAATTATTTTTAACAGGCCACGGAGCAGACGTCAAGTGTGTGCACTGGCATCCTCACAAGGGAATGATCGTCAGCGGAAGCAAGGACAACCAGCAGCCCATTAAAATTTGGGATCCCAAAAGCGGCATTGCTCTGGCAACGTTGTAAGTATCTGTTTCTATTAAAATAATTACAACTTTTAATAATATAATAAACTATTAATCTCTAAAATCAAAAATCATTTTGTTTCGAAAGATCAATTTAAAAAAACCATCGCAATCCACCATAATACATAAACTTAAATATGACAAATAAAGTTATTAATATTACTATCTATTAATTACAGACATGCCCACAAATCTACAGTGATGGATCTGAAGTGGAATGACAATGGCAACTGGCTAGTCACTGCATCAAGAGATCATTTGCTCAAGCTTTTCGACATTCGCAACCTGCGGGAGGAGGTGCAGGTCTTCCGTGGCCACAAGAAGGAGGCCAGCTCCGTATCCTGGCATCCAATACACGAGGGTCTCTTTTGCTCTGGCGGCTCAGATGGCTCCATTTTGTTCTGGAATGTTGGGTGGGTGTTAGGATTTCGGTTTTTAAAATATTAGTTGCTTAAATGATCTCTTTAATTAAAGAACCGATAAGGAGATTGGCTGTGTAGAGACGGCACATGACAGCATTGTATGGACACTGGCATGGCATCCACTGGGCCACATTCTGTGCTCCGGCTCCAATGATCATACGATTAAGTTTTGGACCAGAAACAGGCCTGGAGATCTGATGAGAGATAAATACAATCTAAACACATTACCCGCCAGCTTGGCTGCTCTGGACGAGTGTGAATACGGTTGGTTAATCTCTTTTCTTCTAAATGAATATTTTAAGAACCTTTAATTTCTAACAGATGATGCAATTATACCCGGAATGGGTCCCGAAGACCGGGTTGAGTTTACTGAAAGCTTAACAGCCGATAAAGGCTTTATTCCCGGTCTGGACTTGGATCCAAGTAGAGCCATCAACGATCGCGACCGGGAGAAGAAGGTGCCCTACAGCAAGCCCATTCCTCGCAACTTCCAGGTGAACTGGGCAGGTCCACGCAGAGCAGACGATCCCAGCGTGCTTAGCATCCACGATGAGCTAGCCGCTCGCGAGGCCAAGGACTCAACAAGTGGTCTAAACCACCAGCAGATCAGCGAGAATACAATGGAGGGAATCGCGGCCAGCGGCATGCTCAATGGCCTCGACCCTCAGACAATTGTAGGGGTACTTGTGTACAATCGGTTTATTCGCGTGCATCCCGACTCCCGACTGATGGCAGCTATTCGCCAGGGTAACGAATTCCTCAACAAGTACATCGACGCCGGCAAGCTAGAGGAGCTCAATGACGTGGTTCCAGTAAGGGATCGATCCAGATCTGTTTCGCCTACGGTGGAGGCACGTGGCGAGGTAGTTTCTCCACCTACAAAGAAGTCCCGCTTTGAGCCCCGTCAACACAACGCTCAGTTGGTGTGTGTTCGAGAACTGCTGCAACTCAAGAAGCCCTTCCTGCAGTCGCTGGTGGCGGCGAAAGCACAGCAACCCAACACGGAATTTGTGGACGAACCGCCACTGGAGCAAAGGGAAAGGGAGCGCGAAAGGGAACGAGATGGTGAACTCGACAGGGAACGAGAGTGGGAACGTGGCCGTGAACGCGAGAGAGACCAATCAGGGGGCAGGCCCAACCCTTGGGCATCCAATGCCCCCTGGTCAAATAATGGCAGTTCGGGAGGCAACGGATCCAATGGCTTCAGCAACAATGGAGCAGATAACTTCAACGATCGAGACTTCCAAAAGGGCGGAAATAACGGAGGAGGTGGCCAACGTCGACGACGAGGCAACAATAATTCCGGTTCTGGTGGCGGTGGAGGAGGTGGAGGTGGAGGCGGAGGCGGTGGTAATGGCAGAAATCGCGGACGCAACAATAACAGGCGCTACTAATCGCTATCCCACCAATACACCCATATACACATTCTTCAGTTATAAGCCATTTTCTGTCGTTGACTCAATCTCTTACATTTGCTTCTTAATGCTAAAATCAATTTATATTGTTTTAAAAGGAAAAAAAATCAGATTGTAAATTAGGATACATATTGTGTGAATTATTTTATTTTAAAATTTTTAGGATCACTTGAAGATTGAATGTCTCGCAATGACAGAACATAATTTTCAGGGAATCCGCATTTCACGTATTTAGGTTGCATAAATTGGAGGTTGATTTTTGTTTACTTATGAGATGGATATCTTGTTTATGAACATTCTTTTCTGATCTGAAGCTGCTGAAGCAGTATTTTACAAAAAAATTGATACATGAGCAACAAGGTTGTTGGGTGTCCCCAGGGATTTGATGTGACAGTTTGTTCCATGAGATTCTTTTGTAATAGTTACAGTGAGCTATTGTTATTCTTAAGTTCAATTGGAAGTATACAAGTCAAGAAACAGTGTAATTGGAGAACAACTTTGATATATTTATTTACTCTTACTAAAAATTAAACTAATGAATACGTTTCAGGCAGCCAGTGAATTGCGGCGACTGCTGCGTTTGCTGATGCTGCCACGTCTTTCGTTAGCTTCCTCTTCCGGACGGACGTCCACGTGGTTGCTGTTGTGACTGTTGGTGCGGACATGTCTAAAATTCTCCTTGATTTCGCGCGCCTCCTCACGCATCCGGTCCTTGGTATGCTGTTCGATGGTTCGCTGTATTTTCTCGGCGGAAGCCACCAACTTGTCGGCCTCCAGTTTAACTTCATTCGGTGAGTGGCTCCGAGTTCTGCTGTTGCTCCGACTGCTATGATGACGACTTCGGTGATCACGCCGTGAGTTGGAGCGCCTGCGGGAATGGGAGCGGGAACGCGACCGCGAATAGCTGGTGGATCGTGATCGACGAGTAGATGCCAGTTTGCGGTTCTTGCGCTGTGATGGCGTATTGCTGCGACTGCGCGAGGATCTGCTGTGGCTTCGTCTAGAAAACATTAAAAAATCATGTTTAAATGCGTAGGAAATTGTTGTTTTGCTCAGTAAAAAATAAGTGCTTATATGGACACAATATATTTTTTAAGACTTCATATTATTTTTACCTTGATCTTGATGAGTACGATGACTTTCGATAGTGTGAACGACTGCGTGACTTTGAGCGCCTGGAACGACAAACAATACTATATTGGTTTTATAGTAAAATGTATTCAAAATCTACGAAATACTTACCGGCGTCCCCGGGAACGACTGCGGCTCCTCGAATAAGAAGATGACGAACGTGAGCGATTTCTAAAACAAAAACAAGATATTTAAATAATTCAATTGGTTCCAACATGTGAGGCTTACCTGCCGCGTGATGATTTGTGATAGTAGCCGTTGTCGCCCTCCTCACCATAGCGATCGTGCTTGGAATTGTAATATGAGTCATATCCGGAACGACTGCCTCTTATCCCGATGCCACGGCCTCTTCCACGACCTCGAGAACGAGGTGCAAAACCACGATAATTGCTAGAGACTGGAAACGGAGCCGCCGGACGATAAAGAGCTCCGGGGAATACACCTGGCAAGCCATATCCAAACATTGAGAGTGACTGCATCCATTCGCTGGCCGCCGCTTTCAAAGGGTTTAATGCGGAGTTAACATCGCCAGATGATGCAGTGTCCGCTACGCCGTTGCCCAATTTATGCCTCTTACTGGCCGCCGATTCGTCATCGCTGCTTGCGTCCGTGGGTGCTACACTCTTTTTGGATTTGCTCTTCAGAAGACCCATTAGTGGAGTATTACTTTTAATGTCCTGCACGATTTTTCGTTGATCACAGACAAGCTTCTCTGTTGCCGCTTTGTACTTTTCCACCAAGCGCTCACGTTGGATGTCCTTAACTTCATCGTGCTTCGCTCGGTGGTTTTTGTTCTTTTGCTTCAGCTGTAAATTACAAAAAGGAAATAATTTTCTTAAAGAAATTTCTCCAATAATTGAATTACGCCCCGAACATTTTCCTCACCTGTATCCGCTCGAATAGCTTTTCTAGCGTCCGTATACTCTCCAGTTTGCGTTGGGCTATCATCAGCTTGCGCTCCTCGACGCGTATCTTTTGAGAGATCTCAACCTGACCACGTTCTTGGATCTTTTTTAGGTGTTTTTCTTTCCGTTTTTCTTCGCGTTCACGCTGCTTTTCCGCTTCCGCTGTTTTCATTTCTTCTTGCTTTTGCCTGTAATTTTTGTTGCAATGTTGCGGGTTTTTTTTTTGCTTTTGATATATTTGTTATGCATAATAAATATTTGTTAACTGTTCGTCTAGAAGATACAGAGAACGGTTGGCTAAAGGCTCGCCTCGCCCAGCAGCCGCTAGGTGAGAAGCATAAATATGTAAATGTGAAATAACCAGATATGAAAACAGTACTATAGCAGACAAGGCTTAACGCGACACTTGATTTAAAATATACTTCAAAGGTCATGAAATGCATTCACTAAATAGGAAAGGTAATAAAAACTTTAAAACTGGTTTTCAATTAAGTTTTATATAAAAAGTTTTCAAATTTTGCTCTTTTGTAATTAATAATGTCTAGGATGAAAATAAGGTATTTAACGTGATAATAAGCCTTGTCTTCTTTTAACTGATGGACTGATTGCTATTTGGTTACTGTTTTCAGGTCCTGGCTCAAAACAAGAATCAAACCTTTCACGTTCCAGTTGTTCCTCATGCTGTTTCTTAAGCCTCTCTCGCTCCTCTTCCTCGGCCTGGGCTTTTGCGATGCACTTCTTCCGCATACGTTCCCGGCGCTGCACGTGCGAGTCGCTAAGATGCTTTTCCTTGTCAAAGTTAACGCAAATGTTGATTGCCTGCGTCTTGTCCACAAACTTCCGGACCAACTTGGTGCCTCTAAACTCGTCCATGGCACGAACAAAGCTAGAGTATTCCTCGAATTGAACATATCTGTAATGACAATCGTTAACAATTTAATTTAAATATGCGTAATGAAACCCAAACATACGCTTCGAAGAGAACATCCTGCTCGAAGCTAAACGTTCGCATGCCGTTAATGTCCGCTTGCATGTTCTTCCGATACGGATCACAAATTGGTATGTCAACCATCCGGACGCGACCGTACTTTTCGAAAATTCGTTTAAAGATGCTTTCGCTGGGTTTGACTTGCTCTTCATGTTCCGAGTGCCGAGGGCAAAACCAGCGCATGGGCAGGTGACTCAGGTGAATGGTATCCGGTCGTTCGCCCGCCTTCATTTCATCCATGTTTCGGGCATCACGAAAATAAGAATCCCAGTCGTGTCGAGTGGGAAACTCATCTTTCTGCTCGGTGCATCGCACTCGGAACGACTCACTGAATCCAGAGATGCGCAGAGAAATTCCGTCAATGCGTTGGATGGCCGGTCGGAGACGTTTTCGTTCATCTAACTCAGCTTCCAAACGGATGGCGTTCACAGTGGTCTTTGAGACCTGATAAAGAATATATATTGTAAATAATTAATTTATCTAGATAAGTGTAGATAACTTTATTGCGGATACGGTAAGGCTGTGATCATCTAATTTTGAAAATCAAGCATAAAAACTTACTCGGAGCACCAGAAACTTGTCTGGCTTGAGCTCGATGCTCAGTTTGTCCATTATCTCCAGGTTGGACACGGATTTTCCGGACTTGATCGTGGGCAGTGATACGGAGATTTGCATTTTGGCCAGCGGCTTGAGATACAAGCTGTGTGGTAAGTAAAGGGGAGTGCAGTCCTCCACATTTTCTATACTCTGGATGTTAGTCATTTTGAAAAGGTGTTTTTGTTTTGTTTTTTAATCGATAGAACAGAATATAATGAGGCAAAATTCAGAAAGTAATATTTGTGTTTCTTTACCAAATAATCGATCTAAACATAGAGCTTGAAACCAAGCAATAGCCCCAAAGAATGCTAAGAAAAATGCTAATGGAATACACCGCCCTTGTCCCTTGCATAGATGGGAATTTCATGAGTGAGTTTGTGTGTATTGGTAGTACGTCTGAGGGAGGGAAAATTCTGTTCGATGATTGTCCTTATCTGTTTATATGTTCGGGATTTCTGACCCCCTAACCCTTGATCCCCGTTATGCTACTTAAGAAAAGTAAGCGCTGTGATTTTTTATGGGTGGATGCAGCGTTATTTGCTAAAAAAGAAAACTTTTTCGGATTATTTTTTGCACTTTTCACTAGATGTGGAAGATTTTCGATAGACTTGTTTTACGAAACAAAACGAGAAGAGGAATAACTTAAAACAAGGTTTTGTTTTTTTAATTAGGGGTATTCGTCAGGTGAGCACTTTATGTAAGATTACCGTTATTGGCAAAGACTATACATATAAGAGAGAGAAATACAAAAAATAAAAAAAAAACCGAATTGAAAAGAAAAAATTTATTTGTAGAAATAATTGAATAAAATTCCACAGTGACTCATATATGAAAAATTTTCTGACAAATTTCATGATTTTATTAATTTTTGAATCAATTATCTTAAAATTCCAGTTTTCATATTTTATTTTTTAATAATACAATATATGTATGTGCCAGTGGAGCTAGACTATAATATCACTGTTTGTAGCCATTGAGTAACGTATTACCACTTGATTTGTTATCGATATCGACTTGAAAATCTGTTGTCATTCTCACATCGCGAGGCATAAGCAAAGACAAAAAAAGTGAGAACGAAGTGCGTTATTTCATTTTTATACCATTTAATTTAATTAGAAATCTAAGCAAACCAACAATATGCGCGAGTGAATTAGTGCCACTCTAAAAACCCAAACGGCTCCCGTGCCCGCTTCGTGTAAATGGCAAAAAACTGACGCGAAAAGTAAAACTGCCAACAACAACAAGCAGAAAACAGAAAGCATAAGCTAGAAGCACCAACAAAAACAACAGCAGCAGCAACAACAACGCAATTGTGATAGACAAAGGAATAGATTAAGAAAAGAAAAGGTAAAAGGCGAATGGGAACAGAAGGATGGGAAAGACGAAAACAGGCTGAATTGTATCTTGAAAATATCTTTGCTCGAACATATAGATGAACGCGGAGACTAAGGAAACTCGAGTAAACGCTTTTTACACACTTGCACATTTGATACGCAACGAAAATAGCTTTTAAAGAAATAAGTAATAAGTAATAAGCAGCGGAATAAGCATAGCCATAAAAATAAATAAGGAAAGCGTGGGAGGCAAATAGGAGAATAAAAAAAACACTTTGGTGTTGAAAGAGAGGAAGCAGAAGACTAGCCAAAATAAAGAGGAAGAGCTGTTATTATTGTTGTTGCTGTTGCAAATAAAAACACAGGCACATACAAACACTTGGACAGTCAGATACAGATACAGCCACAGCTGATGTAAAATAATTTGAAGCGCCTGTGTGTTCGTGCCCGTTTACAATTGATTAAAACCAAAACACACGAACACACTATCACATAGGAACAGACAACAATAACACTTGCACACACACACAATCACATTGCCTCACCATTGTGGAAATTGATTAAAGATTATAAGGTGAGTGTGAGTGGGGCACGGTTTTAATTAACCGTTAGTTATAGTTTTATGCACACTCATACCAGAACACCTGACGACGCCCTTTTAAATGCATAAATTCCACCCGATTCCCACCCCCTTTGGCCCTTACACCAATCGCAACTACATACACTTGCTGCCATTTTCTTTTCTCTTTTTGAACGTCAGCAACCCTCGCGCATTATTGTTGTTTTCGTCCGTTTGAGCCAAATTGCAATTAATTGCCATAATTTACATATTTAACAAGAATAACTCGGTGTCTGTGCATTTGTTTGTCATTCGGGAGCTGTTTCCTGTTAACTGTATACGAACGAGTGCAAAAGAAAGGAAATAAAACAAAACAACAGCTGAGTGAGAGAGCGAGAGAGCGACAGGCAGATGCTGAAGAAGCGTGGCAAATGAAAACGGATAATAAGTTGCAGTTCGGCTGTGGCTATCGGATATCGATAAATTGCTGCATGCCAGCTGATCTTAGTCCATTGCTGACTTTCTTGCATTTCTTCTTGTTAATCGCAGTTGAAGTTTTTTTGTGAGTCATGAATTTTAAGTCACTTATGCATACATACATATAAGAATCAGGGTATAAACAGGAGTGGTGGTTACATCTAATTGCAGTTAGTTGGCCCCCTGTCAACTACTCTTTATCGCTCTCCCTGCGAGAAAGTGTTTTTTCTGCCCTGCCCCCCACAGTGACAACACAAAAGAAGAGAGCTGATAAACTCTGACTGCGCTGTAATCAGTTTGCAGCGGTAAAGCAGAGGAGTTCTGTTTCAGTTCAGTTGTTTGGTTCAGGGTTTTCTGCTTGTCCTCTTTCTCCGTCTTTTCGACACAGTGACGTCACATAGACACACTCCAAATCAAAAATCTGAGTTTTTTAGATTCATTGTTTTTTAAGTAAAATAATTCATACGAAACTGCTTGTATTAATAGTAGCTGTATTTATTATATTATATTTCGATTTAAGCTGTATTTAATATCAAGATTCTTTACTTTCTCCAATTTTAAATTAGCTTTAATGTGGGCCAAGTTTTAAAGAATTTAATTTTTATGAAAATATATAAATAATAATAAAATATAAAGACACTTAGTCTTTGAGATTACAGTTTTATATACACAATTATTTCACAAAAATAATGTATTTTACCAAACTCCTCATCTTGTATGAAAATATTACCTTGGGTCCTGCATGAGACAGTTTTGGATTGTTCAAGTGTTTTTGTTAACAATATTTTAAACCATTCATGTGTTTTTACATGCATTATCTGCAAATATTTCCATGTTTTCAAAATTATTTTCATAAATTTAAAGTTAACCAAATTTAATATTTCATCCGTTCAAATATATGTACATAATTGTGTATATACAGAGGCTGAACGTATATGCTTTGAGACCGGAAAATCTAGACTACTTTGAAAACAACATATTGTTTAAAGTTATTTTTGGCAATTTTGGAGTTATCCGTTTATTAGGCTTATTCTGACACTTACCCCCAAAAGTGCAACATACATACATAGATATAGCTAACCACCGTTTTATTAAAATCTTATCAGTTCACTGCTATCGTTATTCTATTCAGGTTGATGAGGGGTCCGAGATTATTGCACTCGGGCATGTCATTGGTGATTAATGGACGAGTTATTGCTTTTTGTCTATCAGTATCAACTTCTATTTCATCAATTTGCTTAAAAGTACCTGGTATTTCTCCCGCTATATAACAGATGCTCCTGAGTTAATCGTTCCTGGTATTTCGTCAGCTACAAAACCGGCTTACTGTTACACGTGCCCGCTAACTATGGAAAATTTTCAGAAATCCTTCGATAATATCCCGCGTCTTGGAAATTTACAAGTTAGGTTTAACAAAATTATGAAATTCGCTTAGGTAAAAAAAAGGACTTGCAAAGGCAGGTAAACGCTGGTGCGTCGATGTCGCTGTTGACGTCGACGTTGGCATTGACACATCCACTGTGGATGATCCACAACAGCAGCGATCTATCTTTGCCTCCTCTCTCGCTATCTTTCTCTCGCACTCACACACTGAGAGACAGTGTTGTCATCTTTCGCTGCAAATGATAGCTAATTATTACTAAAACGTAAATAAGAAAAAGATTCGAATGTACAACATGTACATGCTTACAAAAAATGTATTGAAAGCTAGACTCTTCATAAAAACTTTAGAGACATACATTATCTCATTAAAGGTCCTTAATATTGGCTTAAAACATTATAAGCAGAATTTAATTTACAACGAAAATTTACTTAGTTGTATCTATGTTACATTCTTTCTTTTATTTTACTTTAGTATTTAGCATTGGAAATATTTGTATATTTACATTGCCAACTTTGGCAGCTAGAAAATAGCTCAGTCAGCCTCTCAGGGAGTAGCTGCGATCATCGCACACGTGCGGCGCTCTCTCGCCCGCTCAAAGTTTCTCTTTGCCTCTCGTCAAGCACTATGCTATACTCTGCTCATTTGTTTTCAAACCACCCGCTAGTCTAGACGTGTTCAAATCAAGGTGCGTTGATAACACGTTTCACGTTGTTGTTGTTCTAGATGTTGTTGTTTACGGCTCGCAAAATAAATAGTGTGGGGAAAAGTGAGTGCGCGTGTTCTAAGTGCGGAGCCATGCTCTTTCCGCTTTTCCGCTTTCCCTGTTATGCGCCTTATCGCCAAAAAGCAAGCCGTCTGCGATACTAAGTTGTAAACAGAATTATAAAAATAAAATTGAATAAGCGTCTGTGCACATGCTCGCGCTACTATTTTTTATTGCGACTCGGAAATGGCCCAGTTAGTCATTAACATTTGAACCGCCCCCACGCTACGGCTCTCTTTGTCCCTCTGACTGTGACGACACATAGAGAGCAAAACGCAACTGCGACAGTTTGTCTAACAGCTGTTGAGGAGCGACAGTGATCCATTCAATGGCTTAAAAATAGCTAAGCTAATCTATCTATTTCGCACATTACTAGTGGATTTAAAAGTTCGATTGAATTTCACATACAGTGCTGCCTTCAAATGGCTTGGAATCAATCTTTATAAATATGCATATACACGTTCTTTGTTTTTAATAAATACATGACAGATTTTTTTCACAATGTTTACGAAATATTTTCTTCTCTTATCTATATAAACCCATGTCATAATAGAGGTCCTTTTATTTTGAGTTTTTTTATTTAGTTTTTTAGTTCATACTAGAAAATTGTGAAGGAAAAATGCTTAACTGGTTTGCATAAGTAAAATTTATTGATCTGATTACAGATACATTTTACTCCATATGATAAAACAATTCTCAGTCAACATTAGTTTACTTATCCATTCTCTTTGCCTCTTTTCTTGTAGGTTCCAGCTTAACACTCAGAAACACTAATACAACCATACATACCGATGCGGGAACACTATAAAATCGTCTGAAGCACTGCCAAATCATAAGTGAGACGACAGGATCAAAAGGAGGAGGAGGAGGAGCGGGCGTCGGAGAGCAAGGAGCGGGAGGTTCCCCTCCAGGAAGCGGTAGTAGAGTTAAGGGCACTGAGGGAACACCAACGGATCCATGATGCTGTACGTGTTCCATGTAGACGTCGGCCGCATGCTGAGCTTTGATATGAACGTTGCCCTGCAGTCGGTGGAACACTTGAAGGAAACAATCCAAAAGCTGCACAATATACCAGCTGCAAACATTGTGCTGCTGGTGAGCGGCGGCGAAATGCTGACGCACTCAACCCAGGTGTCGTGCTACTCGGCTGGCACGGACACAAATCCCATCTACATGTTCCTCACAGGGGACGAGCGCCCGGCGCCCACGATATCAAACTCAGATGCCGACGCCGAGCTCCGTCGGCAAGTGGAGGAAAGCCACCGGTTGCCACCGGCTCTAGAGACGGTGCGTCAGCGGGCGCAGTTGGCACAGCTTATGCGAGAGCTGGCCAGAAAGGAAGAAGATGTGTGCGAGCGCTTGGTCCACGAGCAGCACCTCCAGCAGCAGGGCTGGTCGGCGGTGGTGGCCAATATGGAGGATCTAACAAACGAGTTTCGCGAGCGTTTCCACAATTTCTGCTCCTCATTCGAGCGGCACCTTCAAAAGCGCGAGAATTATTTGGAGTTGTTGCGCAACTTTGCCGATGATCTCAATCAGCTGGGCAGGATTCCCATACTTCCCGGCCTAATGTCACTCGCCGAAGCCGATTTCCATGGATTTGACGAACTGCTGGAGAACGACGATGTGTTTACCGCCCAGCAACAGGCGGCGCAGCAGCATCAGGGTCTCACCGAGTCCTCACAAGCAGACTCCCCCAATAAGAAGCTTAAAATGGGCGATGAGGACGAAACGGAGTCAGGTGACCAGCAGGAGCGCGTATCTCAAACCTCGACCAGCAGCAGCTCTCTGGCACGTCGCCACAACCTTAACCTACGGCAGTGGATTAGCTCCAAGGGTAACCACAGTGCCCTGCAACTTATGTCGGACGAGTGCATCCAGGGACTGGACACCTTCAGCGCGGATATCTATGAAAAGCTGAAGAAGGAAGTCAAAGAGATTATTAAGATGGCAAACCAGGGCGATGTTAAGGAGATTAAGGGTCTCGGCGACCGTCTCTGCAAGCTGGAGGAGTTTAAGTTCCGGATCAAGGATATGGTAAAGGAGCAAAAGGAGCAGGCTCTTGCCCTGCAGCAGAACGAGGCGCGGGCGCAAAATCTGCGCGATAACTCCGTCCTGCCGGACCTCTGCCTCTCGCATCGCTCACAGCTACAGGTGATGCTGGAGACTCATACAAAGATACGCGAGTACTGCCGCTGCATAGCCAACTCTAAGGACGAGCTCGGCTGGAATCTGCACACACGTCTGCGTCGGATTGTGTTTATCGAAAATGGGATGAGTGAGTTTGATAATCGGCTGCTCTTTAATCACCGATGCTTACGGCGAGCCGAACGGCACTTAAGTATTATCGAGCAGATCCATCGGGCCCCGAGGACTTATGTGGCCGCCGTAGCAGAAGTGGTGCGTAGGAGGATATTTTCGGATGAGTTCCGACAGTGGGCAACTCGCCTTTCCGGGGATTTCGATCGCATCCACAGCGAGGAATTGCGCAGAAGGAGGGAGTTCAATGCAAGCTTTGAAGGCCACTTTCTTAATATTCTGTTTCCTGGAATGGGAGACATGCCTCCAGCTTTTGCGAATGAGCACCCCTTAAACTTTGATACACGTTTGCCCCCTTTGAGTCGATCAGATATGGAGCTCCTGTCCTCGCAATTGCCAGAATTGGCGGAACAGCTGCAGTTGCCCGACATGAAGCCTGTGATAGACTTTTTCGTTTTCCGGTCGGGCAAAGAAGCGGACCATGATCAGGAGTCGGACCCCCCACTGTTGGCTCCGCGATTGGCTGAACTGCAAGGGCAGACAGCAGCCTCCGATTGCGAAACCGATACGGAAACGGAGTTTGAAAAGGTCAGTACCACGTCAAAATGTGTGGCTACATCAACCTCCGCTAGTTTGGTAGAGCAGGTAGCGCAGGGCACTGCCACTGAGGATCTGCTCATGCTAAGTGCTGGCACTCTGACCGATGAGAATGCTGGCAGTCACCAGAGGATATGTAGCGTTATGGAAAATATGTCTAAGTTGGCACGAGCTTGCCTCGCCGAAGCTCGCTCGAATGTGGACATCTTTCGTAGTGAATTTGCTAATTACCAAGATGAGCTACAGTCCGAGCTCCATCTTTTGCGTGATAAGTGTAATGTTCTAAGAATGGAATTTACGGAACGCGAGCAAAAATCCCAGGAGCAGCTGGAAGAGATGCGCTTAAAACTGCAGCTAGCGGAACAAGAGAAACAGGCGGCAGTGGCCCAGGCACGGGAGCAGCTTATTCATGAGCACAAAACAGAGTTGGAGTCCCTCCGATGCAGGTTTAAACTGATGACCTCCATGGAACGTTCGCCGTCGGACAGCAGCCTTGAGAAACTAGAGCGACCTACAAGCAGTGCCAGCGTGGCCAGTGCAAACGCTGGGGTGGATATCGACCATCTTCTGGCCCAGCAGCGTCAGGAGCTGCTAGCCCAAAGGGAGCGTGCCATTAGCGAGGCCGTTGATTCGGAGCGATCGCTGTGGCAGTCACGTCTCTTGCCCCTGAACTCTGAATCTGTGATGGCCAACGTGGGCATATTAAAAGACATGCTGGCTGACAAGGAGCGACAGCTGGAGCAGCTGCGAGAGCAGAACAAGATCCTCACCCAGGAATCTTACCAGCTGAAAACCCGACTGGAGATGATCACCAACGAGGATGGTAATAGCTGGCTTAAAGAGAAAATTGACTATCTAAACAAGGACAAATGCCGGCTGGAGGAGGAGCTCAGTCAGGAGAAGATCCGCCGTCAGGAGATGGAGACCAGTGTGGCAGCTATGAGAAGGTAAGGATGCACTTAACTATTTAAGGGCCAAACAATCTTAATAACTTAAAATAGTAAATACTTCTTAATGTTTAGGAAAATGGTTTTTAGTTTGTTAATTTTATTATTTTATTTTTATTTTTTTAAATGGTTTTTAGTTTGTTAATTTTATTATTTTATTTTTATTTTTTTATAATTTTTAATTTGTTTGACTTTCCGGTTAGACGAATGCTAACACTAAGCTTTTCCGCCCATAGCTCTGCCTACGATTTGAATATGGGTGGATCCGTGGCCCGTTCCAAGTCCGGCGTGAGTTCCAGTCACCGGTCCATAGCTTTGGAGGGCTGTGCACGGGGTGATCTCGTGTTCGTGGTTTGGAGCATGCGTCATGCGCAATTTATGGTCGTCCAGGACTCGCTGACTCTGTACTTTGTCCACGCTGACAGCCTGGCTGGTCTGCAGTTGACGGCTCCGGCTACACCCACTCCGGCACTGGAACCCTCCTTGGCAGTTGTGGAACTCAACCAAATCCCGCTGCCCTACTACGCCATAGGCCGGGTCATAGACAAAGAGTACTGCCAGGCGCGAAAGGTGAGTGTATATTAATATGATTTCTGGCGTGACTACTTACCAATGTGACTTCTTTAACACAGGATGACAATCGTTACCGCGTCAGCAGGGGCTCAAAGTTCTACCGCATCAAACTGGCTCCGTTGCCCTCTCGAAACGCTTCGCGGAGAGAGCGTTTAGAGTGTAAGTAGCAGTTTGAGCAGTGGTTAACGCTTCCAAATTTCGAAACACTTGTTCATGCTTTGATCTGTTTGTTTGATTGGAAATAAGGAAATCCAATGTTCCTGTTCATTTCAAGACTAATCGTTATAATGAACTATGAAGAATCTGCAAAAAAAAGAACTTATGTTTTTTATTTTTAGCCAGCTCATCCGTCGCCGCAGCCATTGCATCGCCCAGAGATGTTATTGATGCTCCCAGCAGCAGCAGTGTCTACCAGAGCTTCAAGCAGCGCACGGTGAGCATTACGAGCGTGAATGAGGAGGATGACGAGTCGCCTTCACTGCTTAGCGAGCGGTGTCGCTACATAAGTGTCAGCGAGGAGGATGAGTTGCATGCTGCTGGCGGCTCAGTGTCGGCAATAACAGCTACTATTGCAACATCCATAACGACAGCAGCAGCATTAACAACAACAACCACAACTGCTGCATCAGCGGTGGTGGGAGCGTCGACTAAAACTGCAGCAACGGCAGCAACTCAAGCACAGTCTGTGATAACAGAGCAGCCAACGGCATCGAGTAAACTTAAATTGGATCTACTCTTGGCCTCTGCTGATATAATAACACAACCCTTAACGCAACAACCACATCAACAGCGACAGGAGCCAGGGCAACACGTTGATGTGGAGAGTGCAGCGCCTGTGGCCGAAACCAGTCCAAATCAAACAATCCAACCGGAAAATCCAGAACCGGAAACCATCACCATCTATGTGCCCCCCAATCTCCCGACAGAATCGACTGTAACCACCAACACAAGTGCCAGCATCCTGGCCAGCATCAGTGCGGAGCCGATTATCAGCACAGCACCCATGTTACCAATGTCTATTGGAACAGCGGCCATAAGCGAGGACTCCGACGAGTACCGATCGCTGGAAGGCAAGGATGATGGCGATGCCGATGATTTTCCCATTTCCGAGTAGTATACGATATTTGGGAGTTACATATAACTACTTATATACATAAATGGAGTGTGTATCTAGGCTAAATCTTTTACTCTATGTAGGAACCGCAGCAAAAACAACAAACAAAGCCCCATAAAAATAAGCCACAGGGCAGACACAAAACACGAATACCAACCAACAAATAGAACCACAAACACAACCACAACCAACAAAAGCAACAGCAACAGCAAAGTGAAAAGTTATATACTTAACTAATCTAAAGTTTACCAAGTGCAGAATATATATTCAAAAAGAAACTGAAACAAATGTTCTAATGTAGTCTATGTCTACATAATGATATAATCTTAACAAATTTGAATGCGGACCTTACCCCTTCAAACACAACCACACCGAGACACTAACACAAGCTAGGATTTTCAAAATTTTTATTTCAAATAAAAATAATGTACTTTAACAAATTTACCTTATAATCAAAATATTTACATTGGTAGTTTTCGGTTTAAAGTTATAATTTGCTTATTTTAGTGCCAAGAGAATAATTTCCGAGTCACGTTAGTTTCGTAGCGAGTAGAATTGATATGAAGAAAATAAAATTATATTTTTTATAGGCATTTTTAAAAGACTAGAACACAAAGAGTTTGCACACACACCCACCCTCACACAAACACACAACAAATACAATCTTACGGGCTCAGCCTGCAAAAAACACAGTTTTATGCTCAGCTTACACCACTCTCTTCCTCCCCCGAAAATCAAACTTTCTACTCTCTCTCCTATATCTATATCTAAGATATTTTGATTTTTCGACTTTGTGTAAATAAATAAGAACGGAAATCGACGAATAGTTATTTATGCCTTTATTAATAACAAGGAAACACTTGAAAATTACAAAAACAAAATAGATATATACACATTTAATGATTTTTGCGTTATAAAGCGACGATTTTTTAACGCGAGGTGTAAATATAGAGAAAACAAAAAATAATATTTAAAAATACTTTAAACAATTTAAATGAGAAAACGTGTAAACGATGGTGTAACAAATGCGGATTGCAAAATTGTCAAGCTTACAAAAAAAGTGTAAAATCAAAAATCAAATAAAAAATGGTAAACATTTCAAAACTATAACTGCTGTTTTATTGCGTAATAAGTTTTAAGGGAATTAAGGAAGACAACTGTGCCGAATCACTGACGTTTTATAACGTTTTCATTATTCTTCTTGATCCCTTTGCTTATCTTATTTAGAAATAATTAAATAAAAAATGAAAAAGTTAATTTACACAAAATAATTTATTAGGTGAATATTTTAATGAATCATTACAATTATAGATACAATAATATTAATAGGCTTACGATTATTTATTCATACTCTCATATTCGGCTTACATAAATGTTTAACGTGTTACTACAGATTTTTGCATAGAATGTGAACATCGGTCTACATAGGATCGAGTCAAATTGCGCTTTGACATGACTTGCAATTAGTTAATAATTATATAAGCTGAATAATTAATTGCACATTTGGCCAAAGCAAATTGGCGAAGGGATTTCACATGGATATCTGGGCAGGGTTAGCGTGATAAATAGGCTTTTAATGGTGCTTGGTTAGGCAAGCTTATGCCCATGCTAACATTTTATATACATATCCGATATAAAGGCAATGCTGCTTCAGTCTCCGTTATAGAAAAGTGGGCATAATACATACAAATTTGATTTCATATCTATAACTAATTGGGGCAATTTTTTGAGAAACTACCAGTGCTTGTGCATATTGTCTGTGGTTTTGAGAATTCATATATACCCTTGCAGATCGGGTGGTATTATTTTGGTCTTTGACTTGTAGAGCCAGTTAGGTACTTGGGATCTGTATTATGTTCATATTTCAATCATGAGTATTTTGATTCTTGTTAAAATATTACAAATTAAAGTTAAGAACATGTTAAAACTATTCTTGTATTACTTACAACGGTACGATCCTATCCTATCTTTTTTGTATGTTTAATGTTCAAGATAGATCGATCGGGAGAACATAATGATTTAAACTTGAAATATTGAACATGGAATCAAAATCAGATGACCTTGTTGCTGTATTTTTAGTAAATTTAAATTGAGACAATTGTTTGAGAAATCGGATCAGGACCAAGAGCTGATTATGGAAAAAGACTGCGATCAAACATAATAATAAATATTTTGTTTAGTTTTAGTTAAATCAGTTTCTCTGTGACTCTGCAAGGGTATCTCCTATTCGTAGTATGCTCCGAAGATCCACTTTGTTGCCTCCGATTATCTTTGCTGCTTTGTAAGCATGTCTGAACCACATCACGCGGAGTCTGTGCACGACTAGTGAATGGCTGTGGTTGCATCTAACGGTTGGCTGGCCACCCGGCTACGACTTCATTAGGCTTCAAAATAATTAAGCGTTAAATATGCTCCAGTTATTAATTGCCAGCCGAATCTGCCCAGCCATCCATCTAGGTAATCCGACAACTCCTCACAATATTCCGCACTTCTTGAGCACTATTTTACGCTTCCGAGCCACGCTGGAACCATGACCTTTCTTTGCTGGACGGAGGACAATAGTGCCGCTGCTGGACTTCGTGAAGGTTGGACTAAATGCGCTAATCGTGGGTGTGCTGCTGTAGGGCGGATGACTGGAGTTTTGCTGGTTTCCGGCGGCCTGGTCGTAGCTCTGGGTCATCAGCTGATGGCATTTGGTGGCCAGGTAGCGAAACACAGACGCCACATTGATATCCTCCTTGACGGAAGTGCGAATCAGCCGGCAATTGAGCAGCTTGGCAAGCGTTTCCACTTCGTCAGCGGTAACCACTGCCTGCTCAATAAGATCAATCTTGTTCTGGACAATCACTGTGGGTATCTCGTTGCATTCGTTTTCCACCTTGCGTTTCCAATCCTTGATCGCATCAAAGGACGCGCGGTCCGTCGTCGAGAAGACCAGCACTGAAGCCTGGGCGCCTCTATAGTAGGCTTTTGTGATGCAGTCGAACTCCTCCTGGCCGGCGGTGTCCCACAACATGATGCGCACATCCTCGCCGTCAATTTCGATCTGGCGCTCTAGGAAGTCCACGCCAATCGTCTTCTTATAGTCCTTGGTGAATATGCCCTTGCAGTAGCGCTGAATCATCGAGGATTTGCCAACGCCACCATTTCCGACAATGACCTGTTTAAAAGATTTTAAATAAGCATTTAGATCGACAATTTTTACTTTAACCATAAATTTAAAATTTAAAGTTGAAAAAAGAAAGTCAGGAATGCAATTCGTGATTAGTGAATAAAAATATATAATTTTGTTCACCAAAGACGGGAAAATTAACTGTTCAAATATTTATTTGCTTTCTTTTGGACATTTAAAACGGTTAGCCGTTTTAGTTAATTAAGAGCGTAAATTTCAATGAAATTTGGCTTGTCTGTAGAGACATGTGATTGGAAATCAATTCGAAACAATTCCAGAAAACCCATTAGAAACAACTTTGCGCAGATAGGAAGAAACCCTAATTGAACTAGAATCTTAATCCATGCAGTTTTGCCATTAACAACGGGCATGGCAATCGGATCTGATCTCTCAGGTGCCATTTGAGATGGAAATACACACAGGAAGAAAATGTGAAATGAACAATTGAAATGTATATGTAAATGTATAATAAAAATTATGTTTGATATTTTATAAGCACAAGTAATTTACTAGAATTATTTTTTGGTGGGATCTACAACCAAATCTTAGATAAGGTATTGTTGAATTCATCTTAGGTTTTAAATTAAAGTTAAATCAAACTGTTTTTTTCCTGTGCACCTATTTCAGTCATTCATCATACGAATGGAAGAGATTCGCGCAGCCGGCTGGGCAACTTACCACTTTAATGGCCAGCTCGATATCATCTTCACGCATGCTGGTGTAGTTGTACTGCGACTGGGAGTGGGTCTGCAGAACGGTCGCAGCAGCACCGCCGGTTGCTGTTTGGATTAGACGCATCTAAACCGGCAGGTGGGCCGCCGCTTCCCCAGGTGTGATGCGTGGCTCTGGCTCCAGCTCCAGCTCCTGGGCAAGCAATTCGGGTGGAGCACGCGATTTCAAACAGTCGAATGCAGGTGTGTCCAAATATAATTATTTGGTCAGCCAAGTTTTCCGCAGCTTTTCACTTTTCCCCCAACTTTGCGTAAGCCTCGATTCACTTTCTACGCATTGATTTCACCAAATTCGAACTGTGAAAAAAAGAAAAACTAACACTTCAGCGACATCAGCCTTAGGATTTGACAAATTATACAGTCAAACTTCTTTAACTCGAATTTAAATTTGCCAAAGAGAAATTGTAATTTATTTACTTTTATTTTGGAAAAACTATATTGTATATATGTATGTATTTAGATTGTTTAGGTTGGAATACTGTCTAAGCAAACGCCTTTACAGTATGCTATTGAAGCCAAAGACTAAATATCATTTTTATTTAATTAAAAATTTTTAATTATTAAAACTCAAATATTAGTATATATAAATTTCTAAGATTTTCATATTCAATAATTAATTTCAAATGCAGAAGTTCGTCTCGCAGAGTTCGAGTTGTGGAAGTTTGACTGTAAATACAAAAAGTTTTCTTTCATTTTCACATTAACCGGTTTTCAGCACTGTTTTTTCTCGTTTCTTTTGCCCAACTATGTTTTTTATTGGCTTTTTTCTTATTTTTCCTGACTGGACCCGGGGCCACCGAATGCGGCTTCTAATAAGACGCAACCCGAACGCCCGAGCACGCACGGTAACGTTGTTCAACAGCAGGTGCTTCCACACACCTTACGCACAGGTAACAGGTGTGGGCACCTGGAATGGGGGAGGGGTTCAGGTAGAAAGACAGGGGCCAGTGGATAGTGGTCACTGGATAATGGTCACTGGATAGTGGTCACTGGACAGTGGAAGCGAGATGGAGCGTACATGGTATTAGTATTCGCATTAGCGCGTGCTTATGAATTCTTTGAATATGGTGTTCTTTCTTCTGGCCTTTCCCCTGTTTACAGTTGCTTTCTGCGGATCCGTGGGCGGACGGCGTGGCAAACGTGGGTTAAGAATAGAACTGGAGTGTTAATATACCTGACCAAACGCTAAACCCACTTTTTTACATTGTGTTTGGAAATGAGTTATTCGTTTCGTAGTCAAATTAGTTGATTCAAAATTGACCTAAAGTTATGTGTCCCATAAAATTAATATTAAGCCTTACTATCAACTTGGAATGAACTCGAAATATAAATGATACATCTTAGCTTCAGAAGAATAAGAAAAAGTGGCTCATAAAGTGTTGATGTTATTTGTTTGAATATTTATTAACTAAGGCCTAGTAAGTTGTTGAAAGTAAATACGCCAAATGGAAACAAAATAACTAAATGTCGTGTATTTCATAAATTCCTATAAAACCTTAAATTATTAATTCTCTTGAGGGTTTTAACAAATTCATGATGTTTAAATCTTTTAATGACCCAAATATTTGGATCTCTCCCCAAGGTTACATTTCCAACAATAATTAATTCTCAGCATGAATTCTTCACGTCTTTCAACGCAGTCGGCATTTCACCGTAATCGGACAGGTAACATAGGATTTGTATTTTCCATTTTCTATAACTTGTTTATTCCCCTTTTTTTTCCTCAAAATTCACCTTTAACCCACTGTGCAACCTTTCGCTCGTTCTAATTATGCCGCGACTCTGTTTCCCCAGCTTCTTCTAAAAGGTTCATGCTATTTTCGTTTTTTTTTTTTTTAGTTCATTGTTATGATAATTAAGGCCACCGGTATAGATTTAGTTCAATAGCCATGTGTGTGCACTAAAAAAAATCGTGATCTTCAAATTATTGACCTAAAAGTAATATATACAAAGCTATTACAAGAATAAAATTTTGTAAGTTTTAGAACAGTGTTGCCTTTAAAGTTGTATTTTGAATACATTCAAAATGACTTATTATATGAAATATTTTAGAGATAAGACCTTACAGTAAGGTTCAAAATGAACCTGTTACTGTTACATATATTAGACAGAAATGATCAGTTTTATTAATTCTTTGGCAAGATAAATGTATTTCATATTATATGTTTATAGGTTAAAAACAACAACAATCACATCCGGCTGAGGCTGAGCCCAAGTAGCAGAACAGATTACGAATAAAGTACAGCACATCAATTTCCACAGCTGCAGTGCAATTATTTTGAATTCTGCCCAAGGAACTAACAGATTTAATAGATCGTCCGCCGTTTGTTTTCTTGGCCATTGTTGTGGAATGTGGATTCTAACTTGTCCATTTAAGTTCACATCACAGGCACACCAACACAGTTGCACGCAACCACATGCGCTGGTGCACACACCTACACATTTGCACTTGTTGCTGTTGCGTCTGCTTTTGCTGCTACTGCGGAAAAGCGGATTTTCCAAGCATTTACATACATATATGTGGTGCACACTGTATGGGGAAAATTATGCAAATGCCGAGCGCTACTTAAATCAATTACGAGCGCGAATTCCTCATTATTTAAATTATGCTTAAACAGTCACTCGCGCACTAACGGTACCTCGCACAGTGTCGCCCTCTGCTTCTTTCTATTTTTTATTTTTTGCCATATATTTTTCATAGCACTTTTACGACCCTTACGGCCACTAAACTGAAAAACAACACACAATCCGATTGTGTCTTCTCGGTGAGAAATGAACGAAAAGAAGTTCCGAGTGCGAAAACGCGAAACTCACATCCAAATCCCAGCTCAAACTCACACAGCCCGAACTCCAGAAGATCGTAAACACGTTCGCAGAGCCTCATCTACATGGCCAAAACAACTAAACAACTAAAGCAGCCAAAGCAGCTGAAATGGAGCTAAAACAACGGCGACAACGCGTGCGAAGCGCCTTAATTAAAGACTAGCGACGCCTGGGATTCCGATCTCTGAATTGACCCGTAGTGAAAGTCTAGTCACACACCACACACGATATATCTATGGGTTTTGCTTTGCCCCTTGTGATTTCTTAGGGCGCCAAGCTGGGGAAACAACACGGACGGGAATCAGAAAACACACCTGTTGCTCGTCGCGATCGAATTTTGAATGCCTAGACAATGCAGTGTTACCAGATGGCGAAGTGTGAAACAAATTACGATTGTGCTTTCGAGCAAAGATAAATGATCTAAAAGAATTTGGCAAAGTTATCTGGTAACACTGCTGTCCTAAGCCCGTGTAATCAAACGGTCTTATTTTTATATACAACTTTGTAAACTTTAATTAAATTAAAAAGAGTTGTATTGAAACTAGTTTGTTTTCTCGATTTAAAACTATGTATATATAAATTATATATAAATTATTTTAATTTCCCACATAAAAGTCAACTTCTTATCTTAAAGGACAACAGTTTTAAATTGTATACAAATTAGATACAACTTTTTTTTAGTGCATACTCAACAATACTGTACCCATCGCTTTGCAACACTGCTTCCCTGTGAATGACAGTCTGAGAAGAGCAAGAAGCACATCAGCTGTTTGGCGAATCGGAATGACAAGACGCGCATTTGTTTGATTTTCGACCGCGACAAAACGAAATCGCAAATGGAAAGTTATTTTTATAAAGTTGAACTAACAATGTCCTAAGAAACAACAATGGAAATAACGCCGTCGCTTTTGTTTACAACCCAGTTGGCTGACAGGCACGCGCCTGCGCAGCAAGCGCAGCTTATCGGGCGCCAGGACGAAGGACGAGACATATAGAAATGCTGGGCCGTCGCGAATTTGGAGCCGTGGTAGGACTTTCAGTGCTCAGCGGAATTCGGTGGCATTTCAACGTGTTTTCGGTTGCACAAATAGCAAAAACAGTACTAAGTTGCAAATCGTAAGTGTTCCGGCGAGTGAGAGTGTGTGCAAGTGTGTGTGGCGAGGGGCGGCGAAAAGGTAGTGGAAACCTTAGAAAGTAGAAAGTAAAAAGTGTAAAGTTTGTGCAAAAGTAAATTCCGACATTGGGGTGACTGCCGTCTCTATTTTTCCGTCTGTCTGGTGGTGGCTCGTCCTCTTCCTCCCCTTTTCCTTTCCCCTTCCTGCCCCCTCTGTTCATCCTTCCTTATGCCAAAGCAAAAAACAAAAAATATACAGTGCCCTCTCGATACAGAGAATAATTTAATCCAAGGGTGTTACTACATGTTCTTAGTTCTTATGGTTTCTACTTGTTTTTATTATTTCACTAATAATATGAATAAATAGATTGGAATTAACAATCTAAGTTTGTAGTTAGAAAACATTTTTTGTACTCTTGAAAACCTATATAAATTCTTTTGAGATTAATTAACAGATATTTATCAGTTCCGTGAGTTACTAGTTTATTTCACCTTTACATAATTCTTAGTTAACATCTATTTCCCTTAGTACTGCATTCTCTGTCGAGAGCCCACTGTATATGCGAATGTGTGAGCCATGAATATGTGAAAAACAAAGACGGAAAATGGCTGCGAATAAAAATCAATATTGATAGTAATTCCTTGGATGCTCTGCGAGACCTTCCCGCAGGAAGCGCAGTCAGGTGGTCATTGTCCGCTACAGCACCCCGATATCCCCTTTCCAAATTTTCAGCACTATCCACCCACATTTTCCGCCCTTTCTCGGGTGACTCATTCAGCTCACGAACTCCGAATTCCATCAGAAACTCCCTTTACCCTGCGAATGTGAAAACGCGGTCGCCCTCGCCGCATGTCCATTAAATATTGATTTCGATTCTGCACTACAGCACGCTACAGAAAAAACATATACAAAAACAATTAAAAAGCAATTTGCAAAACGGCAAATAAAATGCAAAGTAAATAAATGGCCCGCAACTCAATTTGGCCTGCAATTTTAACAGTTTATCGTACGGTGGAAGTACAGAAAAATAAATCAAATTAAAATCATAAACATCTTTAAAACAAAGTGAAGATGAAAACGCGCCTCGTCTCGCTGACTTATCGCGGCAGTGCATCCGTCGATCCGCGCTACTCCGCGTCCATGTTGCCATGGACCATCAACGACATTAGGTCTACGGAGAGTTACACAAAGGTAAATCTTTTAAGGAAATACATTTTAAAAGTAATTTAACTATTAATGACTTTTTAGGGTTAGTAAACTTTAAATAGTGTAAGCTTAAGATGTTTTTAAAAGAACTTGATTCAAAAGCAATAAATTTAAAGAATTTAGTTAAATAGTTTAAAACTAGTAACTTGCATTAAGTCAGATGTATATTTTGACCTTTTAGTTCCAAAATAAACCAAAATATTATAAGTACAAATAATAACAACAAACTTAAATCTTCGGTTTTCCCAATTATTAGTTTTCTACGATATCCTTTGCCTTAAAATCGAGTTTATATATTTAAAATCCCTTAAGCTTTAATGATATAAAAAAAGAACGGTATACTTCTTAACTAATATGTTTGCTTGTAACGGGTAAAAATATCCATTCGTTTTACATTAATTACAATTCCCTTTGCTTTTAACAGTTAAAGTTATTTTTAGGCGATTACTACGTTGTATTTTCTGGTTTCAAAAAGGCACCCTTACTAAAGTCTTAGCTTTTTAATCATATAATTATATCTACAGTGCAGCTCAGAATTTGTATCCTTCCGAAGACATATATGTCTCCAAAAAGAGTTCGTTATTAAATCATTTTATTTCTCGATAACAACACAGTACTCTATTTACCAGCAAAGATTGCATTTAATTTGACTTTAAGTCCCACCCGACCTGACCCCCGCCAGACAAAAACGTTTCTTGTTAAACCAATCAAACACGGAATGCAATATCCAGATCGCACATGACAGGCTTCCTCCTCATATATTTTACCCGCCTTTGGCGAAACAATTAAAAGCAATTTGCCATTATTACGGCTAGGTAAATCAATTATGTGCCAAGTGAGATGCTGGCAAAATAGCGAACGAAATTTAATTAATAAGTTTGTGCTCCATAAAGGATAATTACTGCGATTAGTGACCCATCGGCAGACGTTCATCGGGCGTTTCGGTCCTATAAATAGAACCCAGATAACCGATTACAAACTCTGGAGGAAAGGAACAACTGTGAGGCCTAAAACAAATTGAGGGATACCACAGTCCAGCAAATGTAACCCAAAAAGATTACGCAACCGCCGCGTGGAACACGTGCCACAACAACTTGACGCACCCTCTACCCCTTTGGGTAATATTATTAGAAGCTGAGAAATTAATTTTAGCAAAGTCCGCAATTAGCCAGTCATCAGCGCTCTGGGCGCGTGTGAGCGAGTCTGAATGACCTTCCTTCCAGTGGTGTTTCCTTTGGGCAATGTGTGGACAGAGATTTTATGATGGAAAGAAGGTTCGAAAACTGAAAGTCATTTTCGGTATATTTGAGATAGTATTTGACTTGATAATGAACTGTTGTAACCGTAGAGTCTGAAAATCTTTTTCTTGAAATCTCTGGTCAAAGAAAAGCGAATTTGTTTGGAAAATCCACGATATATTTCAGTTTGGGGGAACTTTTTATAATATATTCATTATATTCAAATAGTGGAATTATATTTTTGCTATATTTTCCACTGTGTAGAATATGAATCCTAATCAAACACTTTTTGGGGCCCGGCCAGGAACACCTTTTATTTTCCCATTTTGGTGTAGTTTTCGTGTGTGTCCTCTTTCAGTTGCTGCTGCACAGCCCAGGTGGTCGGTCTCGCATTAAAACGAATCCTTTCTACGTGCCTGTGACCATGCCCCAAAGGATCTAAGAGGGAATCACACCTGCCTCTGGCAATTGTTGTTGATGCTCATTGAATGTACCTCGAGGGCTCGACTGCCCTCAAGAACCTTTCGCAATCACTTCAACACAAAAAAATACTTGACTTTAATCTGCACAGAGAGTTTTGTGCTAGTATACTTGGTTAAGCTTGGATTTCCTGAGATTCAAGAGGGAATAGCACTGGTTTACTTATTCTTGTACATTATTATTTTTAATACTTAAGGGAACCATTAAATAAATATCTGATTCCCAAAACTCTTATGGATTTTCTGTAATATCAATTTAGAGGTGATAAACAGATATGGCTTATTTATGAAGTAAAAGATTGATTGCTTTCGGCTTAACATGGTAAATTAAATTAAACAAAGTTAATTGAGAGAGAAAATTTCAATGTAACACTTGCATAATATAAGTTCTTTTGAAATAAAAAATATCTAAAAATTAAAAGTTTATTCCTCGGTAGTAATGACTCTGTTTTTGGAAGAGTCCTTAGAGTTGAATGGTATTTAATCATAGGTACTAGAAGCTGAATATAAAATTGATAGTGCGTCACCAAGTTGCGCATTAACCTGCCGCTTGCCCATTTTCCATCCTCCATGCATATCAGTTTCACAAGCCATTAGTTCAAGCCCTGTGACACTTTATCCACGCTCTCGTAATCCACTTAGCATCCGTACTCCATAAGGCCGCCACTAGTCGCGGTTCGGAGGAGACCGGAACAGACCGTAGTTCCCTTCATATTTTCTTATTTAAATATTTACTTAAGCCAGCACACTTGTTTATTATAGTTGTTAGTTTTTTCCCTCTCTTTATTTTTGCATTTAAGTTGACACAAAACAAACACGCACCCGGAGCGAAGGAGACAGCTGCGAGTGGCATAAATAAAATGTTTGCCAGAGCTCTGGCTCCTCTTTCGCTCTTCAGTGTTGTGTGGCGGCTTATTGCTTTATTATGTTAAATAGCGCATGAAAATTATAACAAGCTTCTTGGATGGATGGATGGACTGCTACGCGCCACGCCCTCCCACAGCAAAGAAAAACAGAAAAGAAATTGCGCCCACTGTGGCGGCGTCATGCAATTATTATACTTTTGTCAGCTTTGGGGAGGGAAAAGTGACTTTATTTTTGTGCAATTTCTAGACCTAATATTTTGGCACTTGATATGTAACAATTTGTTTTGAAATTAGTCGCCGAAAATTGATGGATTTTGCCTGGAATCCTTAATGGGAGAGCGTTGAAAGCCAAGCTATCTCTGCCTGAAATATAATGTATATATTGTCTATGAGAGTTATGTTATTAATAGAACGAACGACGAACATAGAATGTTCAAACTTCAAAGGTGTTGTGGCTAACTTTAATTGATTAGTTAAAGTTTTTTTGTTTATTCTAAGGCATTAAAACTATTCTACTCTAAAAATTAAACTGTGAAATTGGAACTCATACTTATGGTTAAGTTTTAAGTCTTTATCCTATATAATCTTATACGAGATTTCAGAATACAAGAACCATAAAAACGCAGCTTAATAAATCGTTTCACTTTTCACTTTCCTGTGCTTAATGTCACCTATAAATCAAGTTTTATACGCACTTGGCCAACATCAAACCGAACACATATTTACTTTGAATGGGTGACTTTTAATCTTGTAACAATGGAGGGGATGACCACTTTTTTCACCCATAGCATTCGCTTTTGATACATTTGAATAGCACGAATGAGGCCTACCTAGCAAGGATTTCAGGTAGTGGGCCTCCCGGTTGCCTCCCAACTTCCATCCCTTTCCGATGTTGGCGCGTGCTGGCCCATTGACGTCACAACGCCGGGGAGTTGAGTTAAGCGCTGGGGCTGAAGAGGAAAAATCAATACGCCGCTTGTTTCATTTTCATTTCCATTTTCTCATTTCGCCTTTGTAAGAAGCGGCAGCGGCCGTTTCAATTGTTGCCATTCTGGCTGCTTTGCCGCCTCCTGCTCGGGAAGTCACTCAAGTCGCGTTGGTAATCCGCTTTTGGTCGAGTCACTTGAGTCTCCTCACTCCCCTCACCTCCTACCGTCGAAGTCCTCTGCAGTGGCATAAATGCTTTCGCACTTCATCGTCGCCAGCCCGCTGCTCTCGAGTTATTCTGCTGCGGCTCATGCGGCGTATGCGTTATATTCCTCGTACACTTAACACCCCCATCCCCCATCTCCTATCCGCATTCCCATTGGCATTCCCATACCCGGCCACTTCCACATTGCCAGCCCACTCGATTCCAGTTGGCTGCTGTTTTGCATTTGATGAAACTCGGTTTCGTGGTCTGCTGATCCTTGGACCCATGTCTGCCAGTCTCTTGACATCGTTGCCATGTTGCAGATGTCGTTCCCGGAAATTCGTGCGATGACACACATAATTTCCCATTACACAGAACAAAAGTAGTACCAGACTCTCGGAGAACATTGTTACATTGTTTATGTAACTAATAATAAAAATGTTATTCTTATCTCCATTTTGAGAGACACTTGGTAATCACATAATTTTCCTTGATAAAATAAAGAGTTACATTTTGAATTGTACCCATAATTTTATGACAAACCATAAAGCTATATATTTTTAAACGTGTTCTTGCTAACGCCTGGTACGTCATCTATCCAAGTGGGCAGATGGACACTAACGTTACTGAGAGATGAGCAGTCGCTGCCCACGGAGAGTCCGCTGTTGGACATAACTTCGCTGAAGTGGTCGTCTTCTGCCTTCTTATTATCGTTCCCGTTTAGCTCTATATTAGAGATCGAAGGAGTATTGCTTTTGGAGGTTATATCTTGATCCTGATCCCTATCCTGTAAGTTTTCTCCCTTTTGCCGACGCAAAGGCGATATCACTCCCAGGCGAGGGTTGCCAAGTTTGCGACCAGATTTGTCTTCCTCGAAGGGCATCAGTTCACCGAATCGCAGGGCACTGAGGATATCGAATTCTAAGAGGATATCATCCGTGAACATGAACATTAGACCGCGATGGATCTTCGTCCACGAGGACAAGGCGGCCAGGCACCAAAGTTGGCTGGAATGGCGGGCAAAGGTGCCGATGTATGTGTTAGCCATATGTCCCACACAATCAATCAGCAAGTAATTCTTCCTGTACTTCGCAATGGTGTCTTCGTCCAGCATTTTCTGCGGTGAGAAGGGCGCTTCGTAACACAGCTGGGCAACTCCCCATATAAAAGGCACAAACTGAAATTTATCCAGGGAGTAACCTCCATTCCAGTTTGATGATACCACAGAGTAGGTGACCTGTAGACGGCGCACGAACTTAAGGTACCGATCAAATAGGACCAGAGCCGAGGCGGCCAAGTCCTCCTCCCTGGTTAGGATCTCCGCCTTAAAAAGGGAGCAAATGAAGAAAAGGAAGTTCAGCTCATTTCCAGTTCCATACTCGATTTTGGTGGAGCTGCCGAAGGACGATGACAAATACCAGCCCAACTCATTCACATGTCTGCATTTGCTGGGCGGTAGCGCTTTCTCCACCATTTGGTAGATATCTCTCAGCATGTTGTGCGCCCACCGCCTAAAGCTCTTGTTACCCGGATCCAAGCCAGATCCTTGGACGACTGGCGCTGGCGGATTGCTTTGAATCAGGGCATCCAGTTTTTCGAATATGGCTGTCACCCGAAGAATGTTCTGGCTGATCGGGAAGGTATCGGTGTTCTGTATTCCCTGTATCTCGGAGCTCACATCGTTAAGGTACGTGATGAGGGTGTAGTAAGCCTTCGAGAGCTGCCAGGCCTCGAGATCCAAGTTAGACTGAACACGGCATACAGGTCCTGTGGTGGTTCTCCGGAAGAAGGCTGCCACACGTTTGGGGTCCACTGTAGTCTTCTGCTCCATATCCTTGTATATGTGCTGTTTACTTGTATTGTTGTTTTTTATTGCTTGTTTATATGTCATCCAGAATTCAGTATGCTAAGCTACCCTATTTAAATATATTATTAAGTTGACGTACGTAAATTTAAAATCTTTGCATACTTTTATGGGTTATCATTAAACTTGGTCAGCAATTTATTTTAATCGTAGAAAGGTCGCCGGCGAGGAGACCATGTGTCTGGACAAGTTTCAGTTTGTGTTTATTTGGGGAGTTGTCCAGCTCTGCTACGACTCACTCTTCTCCCCGCAGAAAATGCTGGACAAAGACAGCATTAAGAATTACAGGAAGAATTACCTGTTGGTTGATTATGTGGGCTGCCTAGCCGCCTTGTCCTCGTGATCCTCGTGGCGGTGAACTGAAGCCCTTTATCTTCTTCAGATAAGTTAATTGTGTAGAAAACTTAAAGTTATCTACGGGAGTTTGATTTACGAAATCCGTTAATAGATATCTAAAAGTAACATTGATATAAGCCAAAAATAGAAAGAGACTAATGCCTGAAGTATATTCTTAATCAGAACAGAAACTCCCATTTTTATATAAACCAAAGTTCCTAACTAATGCCGTAACACTTACAGGAACCTTCATAATAATCACTATGTATGTAGCTTTAAGTAGAGTGATTTAAATCCAGACTTAATAGTTGAGTTCGTTAGACTGACCCCGAGAATACTTAGGGCCATACTTCAGCAAGGTTGCAACTCGTTATTAAGACGCCAGGAGTACGGCAAAAGCAGAAACTGCAGTTAATGCTAATTATATGGCTATACAGCGCCAACGATAAAATAATAACAACCACAAAAACAAAAACAACGAATAATGCAATGAACAAATGTAGACAGTTTATTAGGCAACAACGGCAGAAACAACAAACAGCAGCTGCCGCATGAAAACGTAATGGAAAAACGGTTAAAACGTATAAATCACTGGGCAATAACACGCGACGTCTGCTCTTGGCAGCGACGTCGACGTCGACGCTGGCGTCGCGATTCTAATGACACAAACAACAACAAAAAACAGCAAAGGCAAATGCAAAAACAGTAATTTCGCTACCCAGCTGTTTTTGACATGACGCTAACTGCACTTCAAAGCAAATGAATATGCGTGCACGAAAGTGGGTAGAAGAGACGTCAGGTGAATGTGTAGGTTCCTAGGGTGGACCATTATTATTAGAGATTAAATCTAATTATATTTTTAAAAATATTTATGGTTTAAGGTAATGATTTAAGTATAAAAACCATTTCCTTTTTTTCAACACCTCTGCTTTTTAAAATGCATTGTTTTTTTTTGTATATAAGCCATAAATTAACCGGATTGCTTACCTTTATTTTCTTGTGGTCCACCCTAGTATCCCACAACAAATGCAGCTTTGAAAGTAAATTCACATGGGAACGTGACTGCGCCTAGTATGAGGCTTGATTCCAATTAGGTATCGCGAAAAAGATAGAGAAGAGAATAGCCAAAAGAGGTCAAGCAGTCAATTGTTCCAGCAAGTGAACAGATTACGTATACGCAGTGTGCCACATCACAACATGTCTCTGTGGTTTTGCAAACAAATAGAAAACAAGAATAGACAACTTAATAAGAATGGGAAACTTAAAAAGAAAAGTTATGAGCTCATTCAGTGCTTTTCCTTTTCAAAGGAAACAAAGAAAAAGAGGATAGTAGGTCAACTTCTTTATATTTTCATTATGTCCTTTCTGACTTGATGAAACAATTGTTTTGAAAATGTTATCTGTAATATATTTTCCTAAGTAGTGGAATAAATATAATTTAAAACCCATTATTGATCAAAGGTGAGCCGAAAAAAAAGCTTTGTTATTTTTAAATCACAATTAACCTGACAACAAAGCCTTTGCGAAGTACTTAATTCGATGCTCAACAAATTAAGAGTGACATTGTCTGTGATGGACAGCACGGATCCTTCGTCAAGTGTCAAAGGAAATTAATTAAATTTAAAATGTCATGCCGTTGTGACTGACTCCTATATGTAAGGTTTTTCTTTTTAATTTAAATTAAATGGGAGGAAAAACGTTAGCTTTTCCCAAGTCAAGTCGTCCGTACTAATTACAGGTTGCCAGGCGGAGTCATTGGTCGTGCTTTCGCAAGCTTTCTTAACAGTTCAAAGACTTAAAAGTTTTACTTACCTTTAATGTAAGGTAACAAGCTCAGTTGAGGATGAAAAAAAAGAAATATTAATTAAGAAACTAATATTATGTGTATTACCAACTATCCTAACCAATTGATTTAAGTTTGTAAATATGCAATTTAAGTGCGTTGCTCTTCTCGTGGGAATCAAAACAAAAATATCAGAGTTAGGAAAATCAATAAATGTATATCCATTTAGACCATCAAAGGGCAGGTTAGGGTCCCCGAGCAATAAGTTTAACTTATCGTATTTTTGTTTTTTCCCTCACTTGGCTTAAAACTTTTCCGTTCTGTTCTAAGTTGGCTAAGTTAACGCCCATCTTTTGAGCACTCTTACGCCCACACACTCTCGAACCTGGGCAACACTTTACTTTGATTTTAATTTAATTTGAGAAGAAAAAGTTTTCATTTTGTCGGAGCTTTCCAGGCGATAATGAACGCCCTCATTTGCTGACTCCCCTCAGTGGTTCACCCGTTCTGAAGGTTGCTTGTTTTGTACTTTTCTTGGAGCTTGCAGTTGGCGAAATTAAAGTCTCTGGGTTATCATTAGGCGGGGTTGATAACAAAGTTCGAGTGCCGGATTGGTTCCGGGAAGCTCCACTTTAATTAGTTTTGTATGAAGACATTTTTACCATTACAAGTTTTTAATTTACAAATTCTCGCAGTCTGAAATTGACGTAGATATATGGTTTTTATTTATATTATTCCTATTGCAAATCCTTTGACAACAGAAACGTGTGGGGAAACGAGCAATGCCGCCCCAATGGGGCTAAAAAACACAACGACCTGCTTTTCTGCCAACTACAGCCCTAGCAGCCACAACAACGGCGCACCCAGCAGTGAGCACAACCCAATTTCCGCGTGCCCAGCCCTCTACCTCCCCCCAGAAAACCACCGGGCTCATAGTGTCGACACTCCCTAGTTACCGGGCTTTAGTTGTTAGCATAAAAAAGGGCCAAGAACCAAGAACAGAACGAGAAAAAAAGAAAAAACAGGCGACGGAAGGAGGCAAATGAGGAGGACGGGCACCAGGCGCCGGAAATGGAGCAGCAGCCATGTTGGCAGGCATGTCATGTTGTCGTCCCCGTCTTCGTCGTCCTCGTTGTCACCATTGCGCTTCCTCCCCTGCCATCCTGCTCTAAGACCTCTCTCCCTTTCTACTTGTGCATGCAAGTATGTAAACTGATTAAGAGGAATTTAATATTGTTAATCTGCTTCGCGTAGTGGAAACATTCTAGCAAATTATGAAACAACGTGCAGTTTTTCCCATTGTTTTTTGTTTCGTGGCTCATCCTTCTCTAATCACAAAAGGGATTTCTTTCAGTTTTAGATTTTAATGGTGAATAATTGCATTATTTTAAGTTCAGGCAAGAAATTAAGTCTAATAAAATATTTATTTCAGCCATTTCCGGCAATATATATTTGACATTACCTATACTACCTCTATTACCTAGAAGGTATTTATTTTTAAACAATAAGTTTTCTTAGCTAAGAAATCATCTTAGAGTATATTCAAATTAATTAGTTTTTGATAAATGTACACTTTTTATATGGGTTAATCGATATTATATTCATATTGTTCTATGATGACTTATAGCCCACACCTGATACACTGATATAACTTATAGGAACATCTTTTAAAACTCAACAATTAAAATTTAATTTCTTTGTCTTACAGTTATCGGTGGGCATTGAGCACGGCATACTAGAGTCGTACAACTCAGACTTTGAGCTGCAGTTTAGCCACCCCCTGAAGCATATCGTCGGCATGTGCCGCATCATCCACAAGCCGCAGGCCAAGAGCATCGGCAACGGCTTCCTGCAGCTGAAATCGAGTGCCGGCCAGGCATCAGTATCCTCGGCAGTCGCCTCGACGATGGCCGGCGGCGGCAACAACTCGCTGACCGGAAACGGTCTTCGCCACACACTGACCGCATCCACATCGTACGGCTCACTCTCTTCGAGTGCGGCGTCCGCTTATCAGCTGCAGCAGCAGCAGGCGGCAGAGGCCTCGGCGGAGCAGCCGCAGAACTTCATGGAATTCCAGGGTCCCATTACCGGACTGGTCTACTTGCTGAAGGATCCCAAGGATCCCCTGCTGCACATCTATCTCTTCGAATGCGAGGCCGTTGAGGAGGTAAGTTAAGGCCCATGTCCCCAACACCGACCACCGAGTCCCGAATCTCAACCAGAAGACGGATGGGAAAAGTTGTCGACAGTTTTAGCCGACATTGTGTCAGATGTCTGTCCGCTGGCATTTCGTTTTCTCACAATCTCTGCTATTTTAAGGGGAAAGTGAGCTGAACCGAACGACATGGATGTGTGTGCGGACAGTTTGTGGCCTTTTCAAATGCTTTCATATGGAAATGTTTAGAAAACTTGCAACACAATAGTTTCCCCGTATAAAAACTACTCGGATTAAATTGCACAGAACGTGCAGAAAAGCCTAAAAGGATTTTGCGGCTTTTTGTGGCGACCATAATAAATTTAGATGCTTAACGGCCGACTACCTTTGCTACACAAATGTGACATTTTTCTAATTGCTGGTGGTTAAAGTGCATAAAAGATGACAGAGATTGTGCCTCATTAGGATAATCTGATTTTCTTGATTTTATTCCAGCTCTTTATTTCTGTAAGTTAAACAGCTTTTATAGTTTTTTAAACTTAAATACTTAGTTCATATGAAATCAAAAAATATGACGTTGAATTGATAACCTTGAATCATAATCTTTTCTATAAATCTTGAACTCATTTGAGGATAAATATTGATCCATGACTCTGCAATAGACTCCATTCATAGGTCCTGCGTCGAACTCTACGAAAATAGTATCCACAAATTTAGTCCAACCTG